GCCTGATGCATGTGTGTGTGCTCGGCGCTGACATAAATATAAAGCACGCCATCAGTTTTATGTTTCACATATGAGAAGAGGCTGCATTGCCCTCCTTTCTGGCTGTTCAGCCTCTGGTGGCGTTCTGCTGTATGTGTGTGTGTGTGTGTGTGTGTGTGTGCACGCATGCGTGTCAAAGGGCCAGTTCGTGAGCAAACCCCTGAGATGAGAAAACATGCCTGGGCTGTGATCGGCATCTACTCCCAGCTCTTGGGTACAACATTCTGCACAGAGTACACAGGTGGAGTCGGCTCGGCTTCGGGAGCCCAAGGTCACAGCACCCTGTGGGGATCACTGTGTTTGTCCTGAGAGCATTGAAAAAATGTTTCTCAATATACACTGACTCCTAGAGCAAAACCTTTAGGAAAGTATAGCTCACCAGCACTGTGCTAAGATGACCCAAACAGCGGTGAGCACTTCAAAACTCTAGTTCACTCAAAAACTTGCTTTTCATAATAAAGCTTGTATTTCATTTATAGTTCTAACCCCAAAATAATTCCTCGAGGCAAAAATCACTCCTTTCGCCTTGCCTTCTTTGTTCTGTCTTTTAATAGAACACTTTATTATTTGTTATTTTGTCTATCTCCTCTGTCTCCTTCTGTAAGCCATAAACTGTTTGTAGAAAAGGTCCATTTAATGAATCTATAAAACTTCAGTTTAATAGGTCGGTATGTTTGGATATTTAATTATAGTTTTTCCACAAGAAAAGACTTATAGTAGCTTACAGGGAAGATATAAAATATAAATGAATATAAATAAGGAATAGTTAAGTGAGAAAAGTTCATAAGCAAGTAACTTTTTACTGGCATAAAATAAAACCAGTAATATTAGTAATCTAAAAATGTATGCTATAGGTCATAATCAGGATTTTGAAATCACTTTAATGAATCTTGTCCAGAATTTTAAAATATGGACTATAATAAAATATAATAAATATCCTATGTACTGGTTTTTATAGTGAGTTCTATTCAAAATGTTAGTCGTAAAGCAAAGAGTTATCTTCTCTATTGTGTCTTGGTTTTCACTCCATGATTTCTGTAAGCAGAAGCAAAAATAGAAATCTAATTTTCACAATTTATGAAAATATATACTGGGTCACTGATCAAGAAATCACAAATATTTCTTAAGCTGTGATTCCCAAGATATTTCTTCTGGGGAAACTCATATCAAGGGCTCTGAATACAGCGACCTCCCTTGTACGTCCTCAAACGAAAGCTCTGTCTCAGGCAACTCTGCATATCACTGTTGCCTAACACCGGCTGATAGCTTCACCCCCGCTAGCAAAGGTCAGAACATCCTTTACTGGGTGTCATAGCAACATGATACAAATAGCCTGCTCTGTGTTTCTGACCACATGGGTGATAACTAAAGACAACGGGTGTCAAAGGATTCAGACCATCCATTGGTTTCCGAAGTTTAATTCTTTGATTCATTCAAATTAAGTAACCGTTACAAAGAGCACCTATAGGAATATTAATGCCCAGTGAGCTGTAATATTAGCTCCTCTCTGTCCTCATTTGACAAAATTGTTCACAGGAGTAGAGAAGAATCAAGATGAGTTGGAAAAAAATAAGCCAAAACAGGGGCGGGGGACTTAAGTAGATATTTATTGTGTGAGCTAGGTACCTGGAAATGCATATGTAATACGCTATTATGAATCTTTGTCTTCACAGGACTATAAAATTAGGCAAGTGATTCACCTTCTCTAAGCCTCAGATTTCTTGCCTTTGAAGAATGGAATGATAATATCTACCTGGCCAGATTATAAAGATTAAATAAGATCATGATAATAAAGTTCGTAGCATTAAAATTTGAAAGGATAAACACACCTAATCTTATTTCATTTTCTATTTCCTTTAGCCTTCACATACTTTATTCACATCATTTCCCCCCAAGAATTCATCACTTTAGCGCTTTTTCCTTTGTATGAATAACTGCGGAATCTCCGTCCCTCTCTGCTCCTGTGAGTCTCAGTCCAGCACTTAGCATTACTCAGACAGTCTCCCAAAGGTAACGTTAATGCAAGATTTGATGTAAACTCAGACAGATCTATTATGGAGGCCAGGCGTTCTATGGAATATTCTTATGCCTTTATCCATTATGACTTATAGTTTCATTCCCTCACCAACTGGCCTATTGTTTCCTTCTGATACTTTAATGTCACCTTTTTGACCGACATTGCAAATTGTGACTTGTTGTCTTTCTTGCCAAAGCAGTCACCGCTCCCCATTCTTTGCTTTTTAATATTAATTTCCGAGTAACTCATAGCAAGTCTTGAACCTCGAAATATAAGCTTTAACATGAACAAATTTTCTGGAGAAGTTCCCAGTCGCATTCAGAAACTCAGCAGGTTTTGGGTTTTAATCTTAGTCATTTGGAATAAGAGGTTTTCAAAACCAGATTTCACACACACTGAACTTGCTCAAAATGGAGTAAACTACAGCTTGTTCGGCACGTGTTACATCCTCGTGAACCTCTTCACTATTTTCTACAGCGATTAAAACAATACGTAGGGAACTAATAATGTGGGTGAGAGCTTTCCTTTTAGTGGTTCCTCTTCCATCGACTTGAAGGAAGCATTTTCATTGGTTGATGCCTCCAGGTTTGGATACGTGAATTTATCATAGGATAGGTGTTAATTCCAAATACATGACCTCCACTGGTCATCTGTGGAGCATGTCCAATAGCCAAGTACAAAGGCCTTTTAAAAACTTTTTTGACTGCTAAGAGGTTTTGGATTGCCCTGTGAGAGTGTTTTGTGTCAAGTTCAAGGGCTATGACCCTTCTGCTGATTTCTCTTCTGTTCCCTCTGCCCTTGATGATTAACATTTACTGTATGTGTGTTATCAGTCATTTAATCATTGACTGTCTTACATTGCTGATTAGTCTTTGGTGTGCTCCTTTTTAAAACTGTTTACTGTACGATAAGTCTCTTAAAGAGATATCTTTCATGGAGTTTAAGTATATAGGGGAAAGTAGTCATTGCCAAATAAATCATGCTAGAACCAACTAAATAGATTATATTTTAATATTATATTCAATACGTTACCCTACATGTAACCAGATAACTGTTGGTTTATATCCTGGTGAAGTGTATTTCCTGGCCATATTTTGGACCCTACAAATACATTGATTTCAGCTCTTTCAAAGAGCTGGAACAGCATTCCTTGTTTGGGAACTAAAAATAGCTTTAAACAATTTAATTCTCATAGTCATAATTCAGGTTTCACCAATGCAATAACCATGGATCATACACACACACACACACACACACACACACACACAAATTCCAAAAACAAAACCACTTTGTAACCAGAAGGTCCGGACAAATGGATTGTGTTATACTAAAAGTTTTATGTTCAAAGAACTGTTTCCTTTTTCAACTGTTGTTGCTGCTAGTATTACCTCCACCACCTTATAAGGATATTTCTGAATGTTCTACATATTTTGTAAGATGGAAATGTTATGAATATGGAAAGTTAAGTATAATTCTTAAATATCTCCTTTTAATTTTAAAAAATGACCAGCGATCCATTCCACACCTTAATCATCATACTCTGACATTCATGTAAATGCTCACGTTAAAACTAATGTTAATCAACCTGCCAAAGTTACATTGCTGTGTTGTATTAGTTATGCTGTATATACTTTACCTCAATATTGGGCTCTATGATAATTCGAATAGGTAGACATGGAATAATTACTGTTTGCCATGCACTGTGCTGTGAATACAACCAAAATCAAACAAGGAACTTGATCTAGTGACAGAGATAACTGATTCTATCCCAACGTAATTTCTACCATATAGATCATAACTAAGGGCATCGGCGGGGGGGGGGGGTGTGTGAAGAAATTTCACTAATGAATGAAATGGATGTGAGCTGCCCAAAGATGACTTTATCCAGTCGTAAGATTACACTTGACCTCTGCGGATGAAAACATTATGGTAGTTTGAGAAGAAGTTCAATGTATTAGATTGGAGAGAATTAGAGGGTAGGCCTTAGGGAAAATAAAATAATTGGGATGACAGTGTGAAGATAACTTGGTCACGGTAGGAGTTTGGATTCTGGAGGCAGCAGGGGACCATGAGGTATGCAAAGCCAAGGAACAGCACAGTTAGGCGTGTGTATTCAACTATAACCAGGGGGCAGAACTGGCCAAAGAGGGTGAGAAAGTGGAGTCATAATGATGAGCTTGGACACAATTAAGCAAGAAAAGAAAGGGAAGTCGCTGAACTAAGGTGGTGGCCATCGAAATGAAGAAAAGGGGACAGATGAAAGCATTTTGATCGTGGAACTGACTTCAACATGTGTACGAAAGTTGAAAAACAATTTAAGGTGGGCTCTTTTAGCTTTGTAGAGTGGTGAACTAAAACAAAGAATGAGAAGAGGCCACTAAAATCAGAGCTTTGGCTGTTATTGTTAACCTTTCAGAGTACAGATAAGAACAAAGGTTAATTTATGAAAGGCTGGGTTAGATTGCTTTTCTAGAGGTTGATAGTGTTATCTCAAAAAGAAGGGAGGTAACAATCTGATATTTACTCATTTGCCAATTATTTAATAAAGTTACACAGCTAAATAAAGCAATCTGGAGAATAAAGAAATGAATATGTGCTTTTCATACTGGAGCAATTTTTAAAATTAGCACTGCTAAAATTCAAGTCTCACCAAGTACTCAGAATTGGACAAATGATGATGCATTTGGGAGATATCCTGGAAGAGGCCAGGTACTTCCTTTCCATCCTGACTGCGGTGGCGGAACAAATATTTTCAATCATCCGAACTCTCTGTTTTTGCACTCATTAGTGTGTGCAATTAGTAGAATGCCAGCATTGGCTGGATTGATTGACATGGGTTTATTTTCCCTCACACACACGATGGGATCACAGCATGAGGGTAACGAGAGAAGAGCTATGATTTGCAACCGTGGCCGGCACGGTTATTTATTATAATTATACTTACAACTGGGCCGGGTGGACCCTGGGGACCCTCTCCTCCTTTCAGTCCAGGTGCACCCTGGGAGAAGTGAAGAAACAAGGAAAATGAATCAATGTGAATGGAACATAAAGAGGAGGAGATGCAGGCTTGGTAAGATGAGGTTGTTAGGAAGTGTTTTCAGACACAAGCACATGTTGCTACACGGATGATGATAATCAACGCACAAGCTCGTATATGTCCCCTTAATTACTCATGGATGTTTACTTCGTTAGGAAAAACCCAAATATTTCTAATAAGCAATTTCATTCACGTGCTTTAGCTACCCGTTGATTATACCTGAGCTCCAGCAAGACCTCTTTCACCTGGGAAACCTCGGAGTCCTGCCGGGCCGTCCTTCCCTGGGACTCCTTGAGGACCTGGGTCGCCCTAAGGAAAACAACACCCATCTGTCACTGGGAGTAATTTCTACACACGTTTCCACAAACAAGATTGTGACGATCTCTCACCTACTGGGCATGAAGGCTGAGTATCATTTCATGGGGAGAACATGATGGGAAAGGCCGCATAGATTAAAATAAACTACCCACTGCCATCTGTATTTCAGAGTGTATATAAACGTGTGGTTTTATAGTCAATGGAGCTAATTTCTTATATTATTGTTCAGTCATGCCTTGAAGCACAGCAATATTTTAACGGCATTTCTTTCTGACGTTCATTTAAATGCTGAGTCAGTGTGTAGTTAGCCCCACTAGGGACCAGGGATAAGAAACTACAGTGAACAGCAAGTGGATGTGGTCAGCCAAGAAAAGCCACCGAGTACTTGTTTGTACCTTTGCGCCTTCTTTCCCCGCAGCACCGGGAAGGCCTTGCTCACCAGGAGGCCCGGGAGGGCCTGGGTGTCCTCGTTCACCTAGGGGGCCCGTCTCGCCGGTGGGCCCCTGGATGGAAAAGCAAAACTTGTTAAATGGCTCTTTTAGCAAAGATAACACAGACCCCACAGAGTTTTATTGTTCACATTGGTTTCCGTAATGTTAATTACTCTCATTTATTTTCATTACATCCTACAACTTGGGTCACCTATGGTGCTGACAGGAGCGTGTCTGGTAGGAGTCTGGAAACATTACCTACAACCTTAGCTAGAATCGGAGCATGCAGGAAATGGGTGGCAATGGAGATGTTTTCTTTGTTCGATACCAGGAAATGCTCCAGAGCAAGGCCAGTCCATGTAGTATCAAAAACTGGGGCTTTTAACTCTACTTTGCCCCTTCTCTCCTTTTCTTATAAGCTGTCCAGTGCCTTTAGGAGTTAAAAAGTCATCAGTACTGCTGTGGTGGCTACTCAAGGACTCACTGCTTGGTACTCAGCTCAAGAACCCAAACGACCAAAGTGGTTCTCCTGGGACTTTGTCCGGATGGGAGACCTCACTACAGTGAATCGATATTCACTTGACAAAGTCTAGAGTGTGTGGCAGGGGGACCCTGAAGGTCATGATTCGGACTGCCAGTTTCTCCCGGCCGAAGGCTGTAACAAATAACCCACTGCCTTGAAATGCTGCGAACGCCAAGGTGAAAAATGCCAAGTCGTCCCTGTGTCCCCGAGTGGTGCTGCTCAGCGGTGCTAGAGTTTAACGAGCTTCCAGGTGTAAACAGAGAATGGAGACAGGCAGCTTCTATTGCCACTCAGAACAAGGGAAAACGAAGGAACAAAGCTAAGAGTCGATCAATGGAAATTTCCCAGATGCCGTGGTTGATAAACGGTGGAGAGTATTATTGAAGATGCTAATGGGAATCTAAAGATGCAACCGATTCTTACCTTTTGGTCTTGCATCAAGAACCATCTGCCCCGAATTTTGAGTGTAAATATCTAGGCTGAAACTCCTTTAATTATGTACTATCAGCGTGCCATTGTTTCCTCCAAAGGAAATTTTCCTTAAATGTTTTATCAGAATTCAATAGGGAGGAATGTAAAATCGATCCCAATTTAATGGTTATCACCACTGAGACAAAAATGAGGAGTGATTCCCATAACTGTACCCCCAAAATGTGAATGCCAAGTATTGCAATCAATATCACTCCTACCGAATCACTCGCTTTGTCTCAACATGAGACATGGTTAAATTTGAAATAGGCGATCAGACCTTCTTTCTTAAAAGGGGCAATGAAAAAATAACTCAGTGTATATGCACACTCAGTGAAACACCTGTTCTTCTTATGTCTTAAAGTAGAGAGGCAAAAATAAAACAAAACGAAACATGCAGGCCTCAGACACCAGCTGTCTGCCTTAAGCCAAGAGAAACTTTCAGACGGTGTGAAGCGAGGCGTGGAAAAATTCAGTCCATCCCCGTGATAGTTACATTTTAGCCGGACTCCAATTCCATTTCTGTTCATGGACATGTGTCAAATGTTTTTACAAAAAAAATGACTGTGAAGTTGTTTGAAATTCTTCAAAAGGCATTTTTGCAAGAAGTTCACTTTTGAGGCAGTATTTCTTTTTAAATTAAAACTGATAAGCAGTTAAAAGGAGGCCTTCATCACATGCAAAGAAAGTATGTTTAAAAAAAGTAGCATGGATACTGCGTTTTCTTTATAAAGGAGCAAACAGCATTTTCTTTGGTCAGGATTCATCTCCGAGATAAAATGATCAAGCAATTTAAGAATTCTTCATTTTCACTTCTGCACATACTCCTATAAAAGGTGATGCAATGTTTTGTTTCCTTGGGTGCGTGTGTTTGAGAGTTGTAGAGTATTAAGGCTGAGGAACGACTATGTAAAGCAATTGAATAATTAAAATACTTATTCAACTGCTTTAGCTCTTTTGCTAAAATTTGTTAGTGGGGGTAAGATTCCAGCTGAGTAAATTAAATGTGCACTATCTCTAGTCAATACTCTTTGCCAGAATTAAAATAGTATTTTCTACTCCTATGAATTTTCTATATAGGTATTTAATACTATAATTCAGCATAAGGCATCGGCTTGTGAGCTTCTTTCTGCCTCTTATCTTGAAAAAGCTACTCGTCTTTCCCATGATTTCGATACATTCAAAGACTACAAACTAATATGTCTTTATGGATGGACAGCATTTCTTAATGAAGACAAAAATCTTAAGAAATATGCCATATATCACAAGTATTAAAATTGTAGAAGAAAATGGCGTTCAAAGTTTTATGTTGCTAATAAACTTCTAAATTTAATTTACAATCAGAAACCTGAAGTCACTTTGGTAACTTCAAACGCTGGGAGAAGATGATGACGCCTATTTATTGAAGTATTTCTTTGTTTTTAGCTGATAATGCCACGGGTGAAGGCTTTCTTGCTACTTGGTGAAGTTTCCTGACTTTTTATTATGTATTCTTCTCTCCTATTCATTCAGTTCAGTTAAAAATCACTTGAGCTGAGTCATAGCTTGCTGAAGTTCATTGGATGTAAGCAAGATGTATTTATTACGATGCTACACAATATATAACAATACTTCCTTTTCAATCTGAATAGAAGGGGCAGAAGTGACACTGGGGACAGAAAAAAGAATCTGGTCAAGGAATAAAGTAACTGAAGATACCTGTGGCCCAACCACGCCTCCTGGCCCAGGGGGGCCGGTCTTGCCTTGGAACCCCTGCAGGGAGAGAGAGAGAGCACAGTCCATAAAGCCATACGGACACGAAGCGTAAATTAAAACCCTCTGACATAACTGACCACTCACACGAAAAGAAAGACATCTTTGGGCTAACATACTTATGTTTAAATGGTCATGTGCTATTATTTGCCTCTTGTCTCTAAGATTCAAATATTACCAACTTCTTTATTTCGCATGCTAATCCAATGAGTACTGTCAACCAGCTTAAAAAATAAACGACAACAGGATAAAACTGGAGTGAAATCATGTTCTCAGCCCTGATTGGCAGAATCAAACAACGCAAAAAAAATTGTGACCTAGCACTGCTTGTGGTTGAAATAAATGATGATGATTAGACGCTGTCAAACGGTCTACTGCTTCTGTACACAGAGAAATGTACACTCAATGATACTGAAGCACTTCTCCTTCCAATAATCTTGTAAAATAAACATGATGTAAAATTCTGTTTATGAAAATAATAATTTGCGTCATTAGTAATCATCTCAGCATTTTATCAGTGTTCTTTCTTAAAACCCCAAAGAATTACTTACAAATGTATCTTGTATATGGTGCAGTCATTAAAGGAAAATCCAATGGACACCAGCCACACATGCTCACTAATCAGGCCTTGGGGCATATATTCTGGTATCGATATTCCTCTAGACTCATGGGTTATTCATCCTACATGTCTATATTATGACTGGCAAGTTTCTCATGTGAGTTCGGTTATATTTAACAGTTGCAGAAATAGAGTGGAAATACTGAGAGCCAAACCTTCCGAAGAGCTGAATTAAAACACGTGGTATTTACAAAAGTGGAATTCACTGGAACATCAGACTGGAAATCATAAAGTTAGAAAGCAAAGGAAAGGAACCGGTGGTCCCAGGTTTGTATCACAACCTTCCAGACCCAGTAAAAATGGCACACTCATTCCAATCCACTCTAAGTGTGTGTTATGTTGAGTCTGCTCCAACTCCTTGGGGCCCCGTGGATGAGCGGTGTCCACAGTGTCCTGTCCTCGGAGCCCTGCCCAGCTCCTGGAGACTCACGCCTATGGATTCTTTCATGGAGTCCATCCACCTCACCCCTGGTCTTCCTCTTTCCCTGCTGCCTCCTATTTTCCTAGCATTACTGTCTTTTCCAAAGAACCCCGCCTTCCCATGATATGCCCAAGGAGGTTTGTCATTTTTGCCTCCAGTGATGTTTCAGGCTTAATTTGCTCTGGGACCCACTTGTTCATCTCTCTGCAGAGTTCTCCTCCAACACCATATTTTAATGTAATCTTTTCCCCCCGCATCAGCCTTCTTCACCATCCAGCTTCCCCAAGCCTACAAAATAACTGGGACTGCGAGGGCGTGGACAGTCTCAGCCTCGGTCTCTTAATGGCACATCTTTGCCCCTTGGTGATCTTTCCTAACTCCTCCATCGCTGCCCTTCCAAGTGTTGGCCTTCTCTTGGTCTCCTGGCTGCAGCCGCCACTTGAATTAATCACTGAATCAAGATACGCAAAAATCCATAATGATTTCAATGTCTTCATTGTTTATGTCACAGGATCGATGCAAGATTTGGCGCTGGGTTTCTGAGACAGATTCAAGTTGTTTCAATATAATAGAAACTATTTGTAATAACTCCTCGTGGCCTTAAAAAGCTTTGAATTGTGAGAGGTCAGATTGAATTCAAGGAGTTCTGACTGAAGACCAAATCCAAATGTAAAGAAAATCATTTTTAAAATAACGTCTCATATACATAGCAAAAGTATAGCCGCTCTAGATTCTTGCACAAAGCAATCTTTTTAATCCGAGGCAGCACAAAAAAAGAAAAAAAAGTGAGAAAGGGTTCTGGCAATAAGGTTATTCACTATTGCTCTTAAAAGTGGACTTGAAATCAGAAATAGAATTTTCCAGCAATAATTCCAGCCTTCATCTAGGAGAAACTACTCAATGAGAACATCTATCCTGGAATCACTAGTGAATATGAAGTTTTTCCTCTTTGTTGAAATTTAAATACATAACATTGTTACTCTGGATAGAAGCAGAGCTCTCATTTTAAATACAAAAGAGATTTTATAATAGAAACTCTCTAGGTATCCCTTTCTTCAAAGACACTTTGGGAATATTCTAGAGTTACTCCCATGAAGCTACCCCCTGACTTAGTTAAAAATGATTGACTGAAAGATTTAAGTGAGGAGGCCTTTGCAAATCTGAGGGTGGAATCTTCCCTAGAGAGTGTATTTTATGCCCCGCAGGCAGCTCTCTTTTCAAGGAGAAAAACCAAACAGCTTTACTCTGTCTCACTACATCGTTTAGGGACACATTTCGGAAATCCAAGACTTCGAAGTTCACAGTCTGACTGAAACTAAGACGTTGTTACACCAAGAACTGTCACTGGGTGAGCAAAACAGAAGTCTGGCTGCTGCCGACAGGTCATTTCCCCTATGTTTCCAGATGTGTCTGGCAATGTGACTTCAAATAGGTCTTCACGCTCGCTGAAAGCCCTAAAATGACTGGGGCCACACACTCAAAGGTAGTCTGTGTATTGGGTTTGGGTTCCTTAAGAAATCCGGATTGAAACTAAAATGCAACCGCATTTAGCTAGCAAGGAAACATGCTAATTTGCAATGATTTCTGTGTAGGCTCACACCCCACCAGGATAGCCCGGCGCGTGGTTTTGCGACACTGGCGAATACACCAGCAAACCTACCAGAGCTCGTACACCAGAGCCGAGCTCCTGGCGTGCCCTCTGCCAGAACCCTTTATTAATGTTATACTCCATGACTGTAACATGAAATTCAGCTACACACTCCCATTTACATTTTTGTACTTCAGGCAAGAGGGTGCATTTGACATAGTTCCAGACCAATGATAGCCTCATGGTTTCAACATCAGAAAATATTTCACCTGGTCGTTCTGGGGAGGAGAAGGTATTATCAGCGTGGCTTACATTAATGAGGTTCCTTTAGAGAGTGGAAGGGTGATGGGATTGGTTGCAATGGACCTGTCAACAAAGACTTCAGGGCAAAGGTCAAGGTTGCCAGCCTTGTGGAGGTGTCCATGAGAAAACGGGTCTTCCCCATCAGCTCATCCCAAGGAGCTGTTGTTGACCACGACCAGATCAGTTAACACCCCAAATCCTCACGTATATTCACGTAGGTGTCTAGATTCCAACCTGGGTCTATTTATGCATTTTAAACACATATTTTAGTAACAGGTCCCATGCAATCAATGTCTCCATTGTCCTGAACCTGGTATTTGAGCTGTTAATGATACAGTAGCTTTTTGTACAAGGACAAGGTGCTAGAGATGGGAAATTTTCAGAAGAGCAGACTCACGTACCGTCTCTCCACGTTGACCTGGGTGTCCTGGTAGACCGTCCTTCCCGGGTGGTCCCTGAAGTCACAGAGATAGACTCCACATGTCATAGCTGTTTCTCCACTTGTTTTATAGCCTAAATGTACCGTGTTAAATAATTTCCTTATCGTATTCTCATTAGATATCACGTTTGGACATTCTTTTGATTTTATACATGGTAATATGTGTATATACATATTGATGAAATATGTATATTGATGAAAATCTTTGTTTTCATCAAGATACCAACACAATTCACGTGCCCGTTAAAAACCAGACTAGAGGGTGGTTATAGTCCATCTCTGGACTATAATCCTATTGAACTGAGACCAAGAGAAAATTGTACAACTGCTACCTGAGCTCTTTACATATACATTAAATTTAATTAGTACTTATCTTAAAAAAATACTCATATGTATGTGTCTTTACAATAAATGTTAGTTCTTTGCTACTTGAAAAATGAATATTTTCCCCTCTTTTTGGTGATGGGCTCCTAATTCAATCCATTGAGACTTGGATGTGAGACCAAGGCAGTGTCCTACAGTGGTGGCCTGAGCTTCTAAGTCACAAGAAATAGAAACTCTTAAAAACAATGGCACTTTTCCTCTCGATGGCTTCAAGTAAAGGCAACAAGGTACTGGCTACGCTCAATTTTAGAAAGTGTCGGGACCAATCTTTCCCAGTAGGTTTTCTCAACTCTGCTTGGAAGCTTAATGTTTATGAATCACTGGAGAGCAAATCTACTATGCTATCATTTTCTTAAAGGATGCTGCCTTTGTCATGGCTGAAGAAATAAATGAAGCAATTAACTAAGTACTTAGAGGAAGCAACTCTGTGAGGTTCCTATATTTTAGATACTTAGTAGAAATAGATTGCTTCTTTAGACTGCATTATGAATTATTCATCCTACTCAGAAACCATTAGAAGTATCAAGTTTACGTTTCAAACCATGTTTAATAGATATAGGCAGAAAGAGTCTCGGCCTTCTGGGTAAATGAAGAGAAATGACCCTTTTAATAACAGCATTTTCATGATAACAAATATACTTTTCGCGATATGTTAATTATTTGGATAACCCTCTTTGTTTGTTTAAACAAACACATTATTTACATAAATCTATCTTCAATGTCTTAATATAAAGTAGGAATAAAGGGTTTGTTTTGGAATAAGCTCATTTTCCCAAGTGGGTTCTTGGGCTGGAGCGAGCCTTTTTCTAGCGTGGCTACGACACTGCAGTAGGAAGTCTTTCTGACCTCACCTTGAACCGGTCTGCTCCTTGACCTTGTCTGTGTTGACAAACTGGCTGCTGGGTGCATTAACAGTTCTAATCAAAGGCTGTTAGCATATTTCACACGACCACGGCTTGCTCAGTGGTCTGCTCATGTTTTACGGGACCATCTCAGCGATTCTGATGCCACCCCCCTCAAAAGACCAAAACTGGACTGCTTTTAACCAAGGCCCCCAAACATTCTTGGGGGTCATTCAACCATTTCTTCTTTCAAAAATACATGTTACATAGCTATGCATTAGGCGTGAGGTGTATAGTAACATAAGATGTAGCGCTGACCTTGGTTTAAAGGTGAAGCAGAAATAAATAGTTAATTCCTAGTATTTCCTAGGAATTACTGTTGAATTCCTTGATTCCATGTAGGTTCAGTATTTCAGAACAATAAATAAAAACAAATTTTGTTCTTTATCACTGTTTTGAGATATATATACACACATATATGTATATAATTGTGATATCAGTTGGGGGCAGTGGTACAAGATTTAACTAAAAACATAGAGGGTAACAGCTACAGATAATAAATATGAGTTGGGTTTTCTTCCCACCACATGAAATTGCCTCTCAACTGTGTTTTGCCATCAGCATAAACCAGTTCCATATATTCTAACAATCAGAATAATAAAAGTTAAACAGCTCCATCTATTTGCTGGGGTGAGAAGCGTAGAGTCGACACTCTGCAAAATATCATCAGCTTGAAAAGAGCAGTCTTAGGTATACGTGATGTCACCCAGGGGTGGAGGCAGCATGAGTTTTAATGTCTTTCCTACATATTCTGAGGGAGCGGTGGGAGCAGACTCTACCAAGATTTCGTACCGTTGTCATTTTTCTTGATTTATGGATGGATTCCTGCTCTAAAGTGGTTAATCCTAAATAATTGTAATGGCCCCAGACTACTACCCAATAAAATAAGGCAGATTTACTACCAAATAATTCTACAGCATTAATTTAAAAATAGTATTCATGCTTTTGCCCATCAGCCGTGGCACAGCTGGTAAAGGCTGAATCTGTAGGCAGAGGAGATTGGTCCTATCCCTCCACCTAAACTTCCTCCTTTTGTAACAGAGATGAAGCCATTTCTATCCTAAACACAGTATAGAAATGCATGAGCCAGAGAAACGATGGGTTCTTTGATTTCATGCTCTAATGTCTCACTTGACAGAAACAAAGGAAAAAGATCATTTTGTTTAGCGCTGAGAGCAATGTTCCTTCACGGGGTCACGTCTCTCCAGCGAGAGCACACGCTAGTCAAGTGCAGGCACTCGCACTTCCAATACATGGGCAAACACGCGTGCAAGACTAATGGCTCAAAACTGGCCAAACGTGCACGAGAGAATGGACTGGAAAAGTCTGAGGAAAAATGAGTCAAGTAGCTTTCTTGGTCAATAAAATTACATTGCACGAGGGAACCATTTCTTACCAATATGTTCAAAACAAATGGTGTGATAATGGTGAAGTTATACATATCACCGGTTTTTATGTTGCTAAACAATGATCTATGTAAATGGCTTCAAGATACTTATGAGAAGAATTCTATGTGCACCATTCTTCTGGAGCTGGGCCTTCACTTCCCTGTAGGTGAGACTCGGCACAGTCTCACGTCACATTTTGAACAAAACCGCAATAGTGGGTAACTGACACTATGCAGGTAGTACTATCCTACACTTAATATCAGTCACAAGTATTAATCCTTTTTTAAGGCAGATGATAATAATCTGCTCTTGATATGTTTTTGGTAATGAAGTAAAACGGCAGTGCTAAAATAATATCTTAAACATACTGTCTAAAAATTATTGTAGAAAGATTACCTTAACATTGAATATTTTAGGTCAGTATTTCCCAAGAAATAATTTATTTTCTAAAGATGTGAGCTGAAGTCACATTTAAAAGTAACCATGAAACAGAGGGTTATTTAAGTTCAGTAAAAATGGAAAAATATATTGACTTATTTATACATTATTTTCAACATGTTTAAAAAGGCAATACAATCAGGTATAACACTTATTTAAACTTCTAACATCTTGATTTAGAATCTTCTGAGTTGTCCCTTCATGCAAGACTAGTACTGAACGCACCCAAGTCCTAATGAAGCAAAATCTTCGTTTTTATCAAGATACCAGCACAGTTCACATGCCCATTAAAAACCAGACTAGAGGGTGGTTAGCGCACGTTAGCACTCGTGGGAACTACCCAGAGTTTGTGGAAGACCCCCTGGCCCTCCCCCGGACTTCCCAGGAGGTGAGTGAGGCAGGCACAGGACGTGGCCTTTCTGTTACATCTCAGGCACTGCTGATGCTCCGGCCCAGGGACCACGCTTTGCGAGCAGCTTCCTTAACAGGTGGCACTGGGTCTGAGAGCCCGGGTCACCCAAATCCTCATGTTAAAGTCCTAACCTTCAAAGGTGATGTTCTTAGTCAGGTGGGGCCTTTGAAAGGTGCCGCAGTCAGCTCCTCGGAGACTCCTGAGCCGGATTAGGGACTCGCAGAAGAGGTCCCAGAGAGGGCCCCCGCCCCTCCCGCCAGGTGCACACACAGGCAGTCTGAGACCCAAAAGGGGGCCCTCGCCGGACCGCGGACACTGGCACCCTGATCTTGGACCCCAGGACGGAGATAATAAATCTCCGTGGTCCAGAAGCCACACGTCTGTGGGTGTTGGTTACAGGAGCCCAAACAGACTAAGACAGTGGAGAACTGATTCCAACTCTCAGAAATAAACTGAACAGATGGCCCAAACTTGACAAAACAGCAGCGCACCAAGCATGTCCTGTATGCCCGTGAGCATTTTAGAATAAAAATGAAAGACTTCAGATAATTTTGTGAAGGCATCTGATGAAGCTATTCAAAAGAAGATTGCTTTAACCAAATTCTGCAAAAGAGGTATGATTCAGGAAGGGTGATCAGTGCGTATTCTAAGGACAATGCATTATAAAGGCAAAATCCTGAGGACAAATAAATAAACCTTAATGTGATGTAAATTATATCAGAATGTAAGTGTTTGGAAAGTGATATTTTGAAGGACACATCGGATGTGACCATTTTTTATGCCACCAATAATATCTGTTGCAGTTAGAGATCAGTTGAGAGAATTACATTTTCTAGAATTTGACATACTTTGAAAGAACATGGAATACGATATAATTTCAGTAGATACAGAAATACTAGATCAACATCATAAATTGAAAATATCTCTAGCCTTTGACATGATTAACTGCCATTTTGTTTTTATGTAAATTGTTAACAATATTTGTCACTAAGCAGACTTTAAGTTACGACTCTCAAAAATCTCAAAACGCCTTTCGGTGAAGAAAGAGAACAACATTAGCACTTACAGGAGGGCCTTTCGGTCCTGGGAATCCAACTGGGCCCTGTGGTCCTTGAGGACCCTGGAAAGAGAAAGCGGGGTGAAGGGGGGAGGAAATTTAAGAAGGTGCCTTTCTAGACATGTCTCGATACTCTGCAGTATATTTCTGCAGATTGGACACAGCCAAGCATGCGACTTCCTCACCGTAACGGCAAGACTACGGCAACACAGCAAGATAATCTGTGCTCATCGGAGAGCAAAGCGGATGACCTCTCACCCTCTGGGGTGCTCAAACCCGCACAGCGCACTGACGCTCTTCACTTAATACAGAAAATATTCAGAACTCATATGAAAAGTAAGACACAGATGGATAAGAAAGTTCCACAGATTCTCCCCTTTTAACATTGGCAAGAAACATCCAAGAAGGAGGATATTTCCATTCCAAAGCCCCCACTAGAAAAGGTATTTTCAAAACTGACTTTAAAAGTATGCTGATTCTAGTCAGACAAAACTAAAAGGAAAAATAAGTGATTGCCTCAAAAAGACCATAGAACATGCCTTTAACTAATTTTTAGACTTAGATATTATATATTTATTTTTGAGGATGTATCTTGTTTTGCTCTGGTGTAAACTTCTTTTGTAGATAGGCGAAAAGAATTTTATTGTATAATTCTCATTGACATTTAATCCAAATATATAATTCTAGTATGATTCTTGACTTGATGTTTAACTATATTATTCAACACTCATATTTACACATCTTTAAAATGCATAAAGTAGACCTAATTACTGTACTGGAGGCTGTAGAAGGATGGTAAAAGATGGCCCTTTATGGGCTCAGAACATAATATTTCTAAAAGGAATATGTATAAAATGGAAGATAATATGAATGTCTGAAGTAATACAGTTAGGGTAGGATATATGGATGTTTAACTCAAAAATAGAGTTTACTAAAATTGATCTTTAATAGGATTTACTTCTTTCAATTTATCAATTTAGCCTTCCCAAGATGACATTTCATTACCATTCATAAGCCGGTGCTAAATCAGAAATCAGTACAAATTATTGCTCTTATCAGCATCTTATCTTAAAATGAAAAGAAACTTCAAAGTTGGATATGTTATTTAAAAAACAGATACCACATGCAATTGCCACATAACACTGGGTAGATTTTTAGAACTTAAAAATGCTGGTACTCTTATTCAAGTATGAAATTAGCCTTCTTAAATATCTATCATGATAACCTAAGAAAATTTTCAACAAAAATTAATTTTAAATACATAAAATTTATTTTAAAAGTATTCATTTTAGGTTATGGAGCAAGCTCCAGTTTGGTAGAAAATACATAAACACTCTGTAAGGATAGTGTTGAAAGTCAATTGGGGCTGCCAGATAAAATACCCAGTGTCTCATGAAATTTGAATTTTGGATAAATAATGAATAGTTTTAAATGTCCCAACTATCGCAAGGAACATAATTATGTCACAAATATTCATTGTGCATGTAAAATTCAACTTCAGTGGGGTGTCTCAGTTCTTTGATTTTGATTGTTTTGTTTCGTTTTTGCTAAATCTGGTCATCTCAGACCCCACTAAAGCTGTACTGACTGAATCTTTAGTGACAGGCCCCTCTGAGCTGCAAATAATTGAGTATGAGTGATCACATTTAACTCGCAGGATATCCTGTATTTTTGTGCTAGTCCTTCCATGGTCCTTCAATTGTGTGCCTGAGCTATAACTAAATAGTTCATAACAAAAATTCTTTGCAGAAAATGGGGATGCATTAGGGAGAAAACGTCCCATCCACCATAGAGAACACAGAAAATTCATTCTGGATATTTAAAACACACATAAATGCCTGGCTGGTGTATCTCAGTGAATGAGCACCAGACTGCAAACCCAAGGACCACAGTTTGATTCCCAGTCAGGGCACATGCCTGGGTTGCAGGCCAGTTCCCAGCAGGGGACGCCCGAGAGGCAACCACACATTGATGTTTCTCTCCCTCCCTCCTTCCCTTCCTCTCTAAAGGGAAATAAATAAAATCTTTTTAAAAAATAAAAAATAAAACACGCATAAATGTTTCTTGAAAATTGTTTCAGCTTACTTGAAAAAAAATGGGAGTGATCAGTCTTTACTTTTATCCTGCAAATGTACTGCTCTTGTATTTCAAGTTTTTTACAATTACAACTGATCCTGCTGTTGGGTCACACAGTTGTGCCCCAAAGTAAAATGGTAGAAACCCACGGCTGACGGTGCAGTTCTGACAAACACAGGCAACACATGTAAAGAAAAAGTGTGTGCGTCAGAGACAGAACTCCTAGAGCTGCTACAATTGTTTAAACACTTCCACGCCATTTAGTGATTTGGTCCTTTAAATTAATTTAACTGTTATCTCTGTAAGATGACTTGGCCCGTTAAATATTTCAAATGTTTATATTATTTATGAACTAAAAATATACAGGATGGACTTAATTTGAGGATAGTTCATCAAGGGTGAGAAACATTTAGTAGAAAGGTTAATGCAGTTAAATATGAACCAAAGAGGGAAATGACCCTTAGTAAATGTTTATTCCTATGTCTCATCACCGACATTTCTGTCACAAATACAAACTTCAACCCAAAGAAATGACTTACTAGTTTTAAGTTATACATTGGAGGATGTTTCCGTTTTTCTTTTCATAAAAAATCCATTATACATTTCAAAAAATGATATTACACATATTTTTTGATTGTATAATACTAAAAATACAGAACGTTAAGAAATGAGTTTAATTTCATGGACAGGAGTATAGTTTAATATCCAAAATTCTTTCAAGATGATAGCTTTTAAAATTCTGCCTACCAAAATGCTATATTTTGCCAGAAAAAATATAAAAGGCGTGCTTACTCATGTGTATTTAGCCTTATTTTACATCAATGGGAAATCAATTTACTAAGTAGTTTTTCTATTTCCTGGAATAGATGTTTTATCTCGATTTGCATGGTTATTGACTGTGATTTAATGGTCACTGGAAGCTTTACATTTTACCAGCATAATGCCGCTGGCCAGCTCCCTGGGCAAAATGAGTATCCACGTGGAAGGGAAGAAAATGAAGAAGGCACAGGTGTTGTGCGCCTATCTGAAAGACAAAATCACTCTGGCTCGAGTTTACGAGTGACATTGTAGGCCTGTCGTGCACACTATTTCATTTCTGTAAGAAGATCAGTAGCCCATTAAGGACGAAGCTTTCTTTTGGAGGGGTGAATGAAAGAACAGGAATTTTTAAACGCGCACTAGAGTTTGCGGATGACTGTACACGTCTCAGAGACTAGTTTCTTTTCCCAGAAACGTTCGTATTTATTTTGCATGATGCGACTGTATCACACTTACTCTCTCCCCGGGAGGTCCAGGGGGGCCGTCACCGCCTGCCGTGCCCTGTCGATAACAACACAAAGAAAAAAGGGACAAAGGAATCAGTTTGGATGCCTTCTCGCAACACGCTCTCCGGAGGAAGACTTTGTAGGAAGGCCCGGGCGCACCGAGCGCTGATCATACCTTTGCACCCGGTTTCCCTGTGGGGCCTCTGGCACCTCTTGAACCTCGGGGACCCTGCAGAGGAAAGTGGAAGGCGACATTGTCCACGTGCCAAGCAAATCCCACAGCATAATTATCTCGAAAAATGACATCCAAAATGAAAATCACGGTTTTAACTCAAAGCACCCACCGTGGGACCACGCTGACCACGGGGGCCTGGTTTGCCAGCCACGCCCTGCCAAAGACAGTTGAAACAGTGTCAGTGGTTAGTGTAGCTTGGGACACTGTCCGGTGCGCAGAGACTGGCCCTCACGCGAGAACACGCGTGCCCGCCAGTCCAGAGAAATGTACTTATCACCATACCCGTGCACCTTTCTCTCCATTGGCACCAGGAAATCCGGGAAATCCAGTGGAACCCTATACCAAGGGAAATGATGAACAATTATTGTGGTAACTGACATTTTGAACTATAAGCTGGAAGTCTTTTGATATACAGTAATTCACATAAGCTGATGATAGTGAAATGAAAAATATAATTTTAATATACCATACAAACTCCACTCATGTGCTTAAAAAGGAACTTACAGTGACATCTGAAATCCTGAGAGCTTTGGAAGCATGAATTAATAAAATGCATTTTAGTTTACTTTCAGTAACATAATTAGTCAAGTACATGATTTCTCATATTAGAAAGTAGCAACTACAAGGCATTTTAAATGTGATACATTTTTGACTTATGCTTCTTCAGACCTGCTTCAACTCAAAACAATTCTATTTTTTCAAGCATGAATAACCAAATATTAAAATAAGACTTTTATAAAATATTTCTCCTGAATTAAAGTTCTAGTATTCGTATACATATCCGTTTTTCACTGAATGGTTTTATGTCTTTAGAACTGGACCAGATCATAAACACTGGAAATCTCTCTCCAGCCTTTGTTTGATGTCTGAATGCGGTAAGAGCTAACTGAGACGTGAAGCCAGGCAATCAGCATTGAAATCCTGTTTTGGGAATTCCAAAGACATAAATTCAAGACATCTCTCTCACGCATGCACCTACATAAGTTGGGTGTATTACTTATTTTCTTTGAACATCGTTCTTTCTTCTGCAAAATGAGGGCCACCCACATCTTACAGGTCCTATGAAATTTATGGGAGAGTGGACTAAAGGAAGGCAAGGTATAAAAATGATAATGACAGCAATAAATAATGGCTACTTAAAGATGTAATAGGCACAGTAAAAGCATTATGTCATTCCATCCACGAACAGCCATGTTTTACCAATGAAATATGCAAAACTGATTTTCATCCGCTCAGAGATTCCTTTGAACACAATTGTGATTGTTTGGCTCATTATTACATTGTACGATCAAGCAGATGAGGGTTCAAATCCTTGCTAATTATGAGATGCTGGGAAGGGGGAATGGGATGCTTCCAAGTACTCGCTCTTCCCACTTAGACCACTGTGCGAATTAAATTCAGTAATGTGTAAAATGTCTCTGAAGAGGTAGTAGACACCCACATCTTACACTCTTCCCCATGCATTGAAGGAAATACAACAAAGTTTTCTTTGACTTGAGTACACTTTTTGGCTTTTTTTTTATACTACTCATTTGGATGGAATTGCCCTGAAGGTAATGTTTCTCCAAGTGATACATGGCTTCTCTGGGTCAGAAAAATCTTGAGTGATGGCTAAAAACGTGGATGGTCAAATCCCACAGCAGACCTCCTGAGACCAACTCTCCGGAGGAAGGACCCAGAAGTCAGCATCGTTAACACTTTTTCCAGGTCATGCATAGGGAGTGGATGCTGTCTATCCATTCACATTTCCTCCACGTGTCAGAAAAGTTGTGTGTGTGGTTGCTGGGCCAAACAATAACCCAAAATGCAGAGCTCTCTTCTTGGGAAATAACCCATTTCCCAATGTATCGAATTTATGCCTAGAGAGATAACCACGTTCAACCTGGGACAATTGTTAAGGCATGTAATAGTCATATAATGGGGGAAAATGTCTCAAATTATAATTGTGAAGGGCTTTCAAGGCCTTTTCTCCTTTTCTGCAGAAAACCAGATAGTTATATCTGGTAGAGTATTACTTTGTGACTATACTAGGAATTTGATAAGTGAGTATAATCAAATATGAAAATAATTTACTTCTATCAAATTGTATTTGGGAACAAATATTCATTTCTGCCCTGAACAGAATAGATAAGCAACACATTTAGAGAGGCTCCATTAAAAAAATGGCTCTTATGCATCAATGTTATTTTTTAATGTATTTTCTTATATAGTTTCTCCTCCAAGAAATTTATGGGAGACAAAAATGTCTAATCTACCGACTAAACAGTTTGTCATGCATGGGTTTATCACTTTTTTCTCACGTAAGGAATTATCACCCAAATACACAATTTCCATAGAAAGGCTTTTATTTTTTCCTTTGCTTTTATTTTTATTATTGACACTGGTACAGATGTCCCTCTTCCTCCCTTCTACGCCTTTGCCCACCTCCAAAGGCTAGTGGCAAAGTAGGCTTCATTAATGTGAAAATATAAAAATTATTTTAATACCGATTTAAATGTAAAGGAATCTTGTCTTAAAATAGATTTCACTTGTTGAAATAGCTGTCATTTTGAAGTGCACAGGGTGGTACGTCTTTTAAATACCAAGTAAGATTTTGCTAGTAATATACTGGGTAGGTAATATGGGGTCTAGTGAGAGTCTGTAAATCGCTTGAAGAAGATCAGTAGTCACACTTCACTTTTAGTACAAAAAATATTTAAATCTATTTAAAATTCATTGGCTTCCTCATAGAAAAAATGTGAAGTTATTTGATCTTTGATGTGTCAATCATTTTTTTGTTTTAGAACATAAATGGTTTCTGAGCATAGAAAAAACGTTATGAAGAAAAGTCATATAAAAAATAAAGAGCAAAATATATCAGACATTTAAGTTAAAGGGTAAAGGAAAATGTTTGATTCCTAGGAAGAAACATTTCTCTCTAATCGTTCTGATGCATTTAGTTAGTAATAATAAAAGACCAAACTCAGGAATATTGAACAGAGAATTGACATATGAAAAACAGCAAAAGATAACATCAAATAAACTCATCAAAGCAAATTGTGCTCATTCAAGTAATATGACAGTGTCTCATTTTTAAATCAAAACATCACCAGATTGCAGTTCAACTGATCTAGAAATCAGATCAAGAATTCAGCAAATGATCTTGGGAGAGTTTAAAGTCCCGAGCTGTGAAGGAGATGTCTTCTCTCACTCATAATACCTGTAAAGATGCTTGACATCCAAAAAGAAGAGAACGAGGAGCCAGGATGGTTTATTAGAAATAATACTTACCAGGTAAAAGTTATGAATCAGCATTTTAAATGTAGCCAGAAATAGTAAATGATGCTATTATTTTTAAATCATAGGTGAAATGACTCTTATTTTCACAAGGGCTGAAAGTATTTATGTTTACCTCTTCCTGTAGAGGAAGTATGTCTTATAATATGTACTTCCTAGAAAGTAATTTTTCTAGAAAAATGGTAAGATGGAAACACACGGTAAGCTTAAAATAGTGTCAACACATGATGGCTATGGGAACAAATGCTTGCATTATACATTTGTCAGGAGGAAGGATACTTTTCTCTCCCACTGATTATTTGTGAAGCTTATTAATAGTTAAATGTTGTGGGGTTATTGTATAATTAGGGTTTGTCGCCATCTACTATATCTGTCAAGCCTAAATGTATCAAATGGAGAGAGATGACGGGTAGAAACATACATACATACATACATACATACATAATCTCATGTATATATAACTACCTTAACATTAATATCCAAATATATACATATGAATTCATTTAACTACTTTAATGTATCTAGTCAATGCATCAAGTGCAGCCTTAACAATATTTAATGATTAGCTTGAGAAAAATGAGCATAGCAGGGTAAACGTGCATTTCGAAAGCCATCAATTTTTAATCTATCATGTATGCGTGTTTCAAGTAGTCAAATATATAGAATTTGGGTAGAGTAAGGGGTTGAATGGTGCCCCCTCTAAAAATAGAAAAGATATGTGCAACATCCAAATCCCTGGAACCTGAGAATGTTACCTTATTGGGTTCTTGGTAGATATTAAGTCAATGATGGGTCTCCATCCCGGATTACCTAGGCGGTCCCTAAATCCAGTGACACATGCCTTCGTAAGGGGCAGAAGAGGAGGAGAAACTGGCACAGAATAAAAAAAGGGGGAGGGGGCCGTGAAGAAGAGGGCAGAAACTTCAAACTAAACACGTGGACACATGCCCGGAGTGGGGGGGCGGGCGCCTGGGGCCACCGTAAGCTGAAAGAGACAAGGACAGATCGCCCCCCAGTGGTTTGGAGGGGAGCCGCCTTGTTACCACCTGCCCTAGACGTCTGGCCCCCAGACTGCGAAAGGGCACATTCCCATTGTGCTAAGTCACCAGTGTTGTGTGGCTGCGTCATGGCCACCCTAGGAAACAAGGACTGTGTGGAAATGAGGAAAGGTGAGAGAATAAGAGATGTGTAATAATTCTTTTAAAAAAATCTCAAGTGGTTATTCAAACGCTGAGGGCACTAGAATGAAAGGAAAGGCTATTAGCCACCTCTTGTCATTCACTTTAACACCTCCAGATGTTCTCTGCCTGGAATATCCCACTTCGATCCTAACAGAACAGCCGACTGTGCTATCCTTTTAAGACCCTGTTTCTTAAGATGCTCCAATCCCAAATCAGCCCGGCTCTCTGCGCTCCTGGCCACCCAGGCACCCAGGCACCGCATGAAATCTTCTCTTGTGAAATTATACTGTAAGATTCACCATCGCTGTGATTCGTTCTAAGTGCTTCACAAAACGTTGATAAATAAACTCTAAACATGAAGCTACTTATTTTACCTTTGGACCTTGTCTCCCTGGGTATCCTGGCAATCCTGGAACGCCAAGCTTCCCCTAAAGTCAAAAGATAATAATAATAATACATTCTAAGTTTTTTAGTCTAACAAGAATACATTTTAGTCTTTTTTTTAGAAGAAACACGTATTTGTAAACTTGAAAGAAAGGTCTGCACGTGTTTTCCATACCATCATTTTATTTCTTCATCTGAACAGGAAAAGCGATACTTTAGCGTGGGTATGTCCAGCCCCATGGCTCACGGGCCACAAGCGGCCCAGGATGGCTTTGAACACGATCCAACACAGAACTGTAAGTTGACTTACAACTTTTGTTTCCGCTCATCAGTTTTCATTAGTGTTTGTGTATGTGGTATGTGGCCCAAGACAATCCTCCTTCTTCCAGTGTGGCCCAGAGATGCCAAAAGGTTGACCCCCTGCCGGGTTAGACACATTTCTAATGTTCTAACGTTCACTAATGTCACCTCTGCTAAGGGCTGTGCCTTCTCTGGGGGCATGGGACCCTGAGCTAAAGGACAATGCTAGAAGTCTTTGTAAAATTTTAAGCATGAGTGAAGAAAACACCTAACCTTTTCCAACATTAAATAGTACTAAAAGTTAATTAATGTAGTTAAAAGTACATTTAGATCTTATTCCAATTAGAGTTAATCTTTTTGATAAAATTATTTCAATTCTCATGGTAACTATAAAGCCAGCATCCATGAGTTATTTAACTTTTTCTCATTGAGTAAGTAAAGTTAATATAATACTAAGAAATTCTGACCTAATTTTGAGCAGTTTCTTTCTTTTTTCAAATATCCAGGTTCATAAATGCACTCAACGTTAAGAGCTATAGCTAAATAATGACTTTTGTGGAGTGTTCATTCCTTCAGGCGAGCACTTCTATGCATAACTATTTTGTTCCAGTGCAAGGAGATTACATCTCCATCTAAAAAATGCTAAAACAAATGATAAATTACAGTGAAGTCTGCAGGCATGTAACAAAGACTAAGACATTTAAAATTCTATACTAACAAAATTGGGCCCCTGGAAAGGAATTAACTTAAAAAATTATAGAGAGGAAATTAAATTAAGATAAATGAATTGAATAATATATGTGGAATTTTACTGGAATTCATTTTCCTTAAGATCTTACAAAAGCACACTTCATAAAATATTATTTATCAAAGTCTTAAACATCAGCAAGCACATAGTACATTATATGTACCTTTAAACAAAATAAAAATATAAATAAGTCCAAGTGACTATACACCATGTGAAAAGATGAGCAGCGCTTTGTGAACAAAAGTAAATATTTCAGCAGATGAAGGGATGGAAAGATTAGGAACATAGTTTATGACCTTGTCACGACAGACCAAACTAGAGTCGTCTGAGCCGAGGTCAACCTGCATAAGTACGTAGCCTCCAGACGGAAACTAGGCAAACGATTAAGAATCATCTCTGTAACGATGCCCCCTTGGGTGCATGAAGCCACAATAGCTTGTTCTATGCCACTGAGTTCAAGGTTAATGACATACTCTAATTACGATCACAAAGCTTTTATGTTCTATGTTAAAAACTAATTAGAATGGATACTCTTGTTCATTTTAGGGTTGTAATAACATCCAGGCAGAAAATTCTGTTTGTATTTTCAGTAGGGTGGTCCGCAACCTCCAAAAAGGGGACAGACAAATGAAATGTTAAGGATGAAAACTGTGGGGTGCTGGGAAGCCTGGATGCTTCAGAGCAGTGTGTGGAGCCGTTTCCATAGAACAGTGAGGGCAAAGGGGAGAGGGTGGGCCCACGAGAGCCCCGAGCTGCTGGCCAGCCTGCAGTTAAGGGGAGGGGTCCCAGGGCCTCGGGTGCCGGTGTTTTGCCCTGGCCTTTTCCTTTCTCTGATAACGTCAGTCATCACTGAAGAATGGCTGTGACATGATTCATAAGTGATGTAAGGAAATACTGGATGTTTTTCTAGTGCCAAACCCCACAGAATCCTTCCATAACACATTTTCCTTCTTGGACAGGGTGATAAGGGTTGGAGATTAGAATTTTCTTAATTGGTCTGGAATGTCCCTATTTTATAGACTGAACTACATGCTCATTATAGAAAATGTGGAGAACAGATGTACAAATAAAAAAGGAAATCATCTGAATGATACCAGGAGGTAATTATTGTTTCTATTTTCCTTTAGTGAACATAAATAACAGTTATTTCACCCCTTTCTAGTATTATTTCTTAATTCAGCCTCAGAGTAAATGATAAGATATTCATCAAATCACCATGTCAGCAAATGCCCTATGAAGGCATCATTTTAACGTTGCCTAATATTACACTTAAATATAAATGGAATGGTCACAAATATTTCTGACATCACACACACAGCCCAGTGGCTCTTCAGCCAATGAGTGGTAGAATTATCTTGCGATGTTTTAAAACAGAGACACCTAAATTAACCTCAGATTAAAAATAAACTCTCTTGAAGTTGGACCTAAACATGAGTATTTTTTTAAAACACCCAGTGAAAATATGTTAGGTGGAAAAATAAGAAATCTGTATTTTGGTAACTGGGGCAAAGATATGTGCTCCACCCAACACAAGTGGACCAACATTCATTAACTCTTTCATCCTCCCTTCATTGCACCCAAATGCTAAACTCTAATTCGGAACAGCTTTGCGAGTGCCTGCTGGAGCGGGGCCCAGGAGAGCAGGAGGGAGGAGAAATTAAGGGGGACCAAACAGTCAGGCAAGCGCACCTGTCTCCCGACGCTGCGGCAGGAGGATGTTTTGGTCAATGACAAGCTGCATACACGACGGTGGTCCCGAGATACAACAGAGCTGAAAAAGCCCTCTCCCCCAGTGACGTCACAGCCATTATGTCATTGCAGTACAACGCGTGACTCACGCGTGTGTGGGATGCTGGTGTGAACACACCTACTGCGCTGCCAGTCACACGAAGGTCGGCACGTACCATCACGGACAGTAGAGAATACTTGATAATGATAATAAATGCCTATGGTGTCGATTTATGTATTGATGGTACTACAACTTTATCATGACTGGAAAGCACACTCTTTTCCACTTACTGAAAAGTAGTTTGGTGAAACCAGCATGTCGCATGACAGCCGCCACAGCCTCACACACCTCGTGTTTACTGTGTGTCTCAATGGCATCGCTCTCTCCTGTGTTTGACCAAATCCCAGTTGCTTTGCACAGTGACATGCTGCACAGGCTTGGAGCCTGGGAGCAGGGGCTGCACCCGCAGCCTGGGTGTGCAGTGGGCTGCAGCATCCAGGTGTGCGGACATGTGCACGATGACATTCGCAAAGAACAAAATCACCTAACAACACATTCTCACTGTTAAGCAGCCCGCAACTATACAAGGACCCATTTGATATTCGATAGCAACCTCCAGATTTTTGACATGGGTAATTAAAACATGCTTAAATAACCGTGAAGACTTTTCTTCTAGAACGTCTGGGAATCTGAGGTTGCTCACTGACCTTCTCTCCTGCTTGGCCAGAAGGACCAGGGTCTCCGGTGGGGCCCGCTCGACCTTTGGGGCCTTCAGGGCCGTCTTCTCCTCTGGGGCCCATTTGGCCGACTTCTCCCTGAAACGCAGCGTGACAGCATTTCTGTGACTTAAATATATTGGAGATCAAATGGCAGGGATTATAGCCTATCAAAAAGTCATATTCTTCAACTCCTGGTCTCTTGACTCCTGTTTTATTTAGGACAAGGAGGCTTAAAAGTATGGGACTTCAACAATCTTTCCAGTAATAAACAAACAAGGATCACAGTTTGATATTTGACAACCTACAGAAGCTCATGCTGCTATGTATTATATGAAATTAATTTTAAGGTATCTGTGGTGCAGAGAGAAAAAATAAGCATCAAGATTAGAGAATTCAGGGTGGCATCAAATTCTACCACTTTGGCATAAAGATTATATTGAGCTAAAGGCAATTGAGAAGCTCATACAGGCAACATACAGTTGATGTACCACCTTTATAATCTTTTAACCAATACCACCCCAATAAAGTTCATTTAAAAAAGCCCTCTGCCTGCCCCTAATTTGCCTAAAACAGAACATAAGTTTGCAAAGGTGTCCTTCCCCTCCTTTCTACCACAGAAGTTAATCACTACAGACAAATCAATCTGGAGTCCAAAGCAGACATTATTAGGGGTTTCTACAATAAGAAGTTTCATTAACAAGCCCTCACATACCATTGGCTTCCCTTTTATGTGTCTTCCCACAGTTTTTCAGTCCTAGAAGCTCAAAGTCCTTTCCTGTGTCTTGTCACTTCTCAGACAATGTATTGTTACTTTTCTACAATCCTCGTAAGCCTAGGTTCTAACCACCCCTTTGAGTTACTGCTCATCGCTGAGCGCTCCCAGGTGTAAATACACGGCAGTAGCCAGCAAAGTTCCTTTTTACGGTCTCTTGTTAATCTCTCTTTTGTCAGCCTGATCGTACAGGGCCCCAGCCAGAGAACCTATCATGATGTTGGGAGAAATCATTTCTTCCGTCTGGCAACAGCGACTTTGGAAATCACTGTTTGGAACACAAGAGAAACGTCTCCATTTTAGGCTCGGATTTTGTCTGCATCGGGGCCTGGAACATGAAAAGTGGTTGCTCCCCTCCTGGAAACCGGCTTTAGGGGAATTTTAGAGAAACAAAATGTTCTATAATTCCCTCCTTTTTCATATTTATTAGGGACTATTACGTTAGTTGTAAAATAAATCTTCCCAGTAAAATGTTAATTTACTTTCAGTGACTCACATTTTTTGTTTTTTAGACACTCATGACCAGAAGGAAAAAAAAAAGGTGTTTTTAGTCAAAATTTAGGGCCACCATATAGTAAAGATTTATGACAGTTGCAGATGTATTTTTCCAGGCAGCATAGCTCACTATATATGAATAAATTTAGAACAACAACATGACATGATTTCTTTGAAGCAATTTGGTCATTATTTTTGAAAATGTCTATAAAAATAGAATCTAACATGTCTATATTAAATTTGGAAATGTAATATAAGATACAGAAGACAACCATTGATCATTGTATTATCTTCGCAAAAATTAAGTCACTTAATTTTATATAAATATCAATGAGTAATGTCCCTGGTGATATTAATACAAACATTTTTATTTATCCTGTGCCTCAACCTCCTATATTTAGATATAAGAAGACACACGCACTCATGCACACCACCAAAGACGCTGGCGGGACTTTCTTTTCACTTACTCTGTCACCCTTGAGACCCATGTCACCTTTGAATCCTGGAAAACCATCTTCACCCTAAAAAAATATAAGGAATGAAGCAGGTGATCAATCGGTTGGTTTGATGAATGTAAAATGTGGACACACATCCAACATGAATACTGATGATCAGGGAAAATGTTTCTGAGATACGTGAATCCTGGTTGTGAGACCTCTTCCTCTCTTTTGTAACCTTACCCCCAGTACCCTTCCCTGTTTCCAAAATGAATAAAATCATTAAATAAAATAATGTGTAAATCCATACAATGATCTTTAAGCATCATTTAAAAATTAGAAAATGTTTTACAAATGTATCTATTAAAGTTCCTCTGTTATGGGAGAAATGACCACTCTGTTATGACAACTTGTATTCTGTGCTATTTGGAAAAAAGGTAAACACTTACATAATTATCATTTTAACTGTGGACTGTGAAGTAAAATATCTTTACCCTTGATTTACTAATTGGTACCTAAGAATTCTGTATCATGAATTTTGTAGCATGGGCTTTAGATAAATGCTTTCTAGCTCAACTTGTCCTCTATCTACTAATCCCTCTTCAGGTGGAGAATAAGCAAGTTAAAATTACCCTTTATATATAAATAGACACTGTCATCATGCACCACATGCTCAGAGCACTGCTGTTGAAAAACCAGGCACGCGTTAGCAAAGAGGAGAAATTTTGATATAAAAATATGTCCTGCCATTCTTCCTGAAATCTTAACTCTTAAGAAAAGTCATGTCACAGTTTCAAGAAAAAAATTAAATTCCAAATGAATGATTATTCACATATTTAATAACATTAATTGAGTGATTATTCCTTTAAGAGTACTATATGGAGTATTTGGACATTTTTATTTTACCAATAAAAACTAAGGTAGAATATGTGCATTAGTTTTGGTTCAGCTGGAGTAATATGGGTGTTCAGAGAAAAGATGTGGGGATGAGGATGATGATGATGATGATGGTGGTGGTGGTGGTGGTGGTGCTGGCGGTGATGGTTTTGAGTTAGAAAGTGAATGGGAGAAAGGGCAACAAGTACCTCCATTGTTTGTGAGAGAATAGATTTGACCTGCACAGTCCGAGGAAAGGACATTTCAGGCCAGTGTGAGACCAGAGCTAAAAAGACTGACGCACACATTTCCAGATCCCGCTGCCAAAACGGCCTTCCTAAAACACAAAACTGCTCCAATCAATTTTTTACTTTAAAAGACTGCAATTGGCTAGTGATGACTAGGTTCCCACCCTCCCTCGCTCCCCACCCTGATCGAGCCAGCTTTTGTTCACCTCTGCTGTCTGGTCTTTGGCCTTGAACCTCCCCTCCCCGCTGACTCAACATGGGGACTGCGTTCTAGAAACTCTCAGTCACCTGTCTCTATTTGCAATTCTGGCTTTGGTCCTCACTCTCACACACACTGTCCATCTTTTCCCTTCTCTCAGACTCAGAGCGCGGATCTGCGATGACATGTTACACAGCCTCTGCTTCCCCCCAAAAATGACCCTCCCGGTCGTGCATGCCCCACTGAACATTTATCACCCCAGCAACCACCACCCTGCTTAGCAGACAAGAGGTCTCTTGCTTTCAACTAAATGGTAGAAAAAAGACTCATGCTGAATTAGCCTCTGGATCTCCAGTGTCTAGTACATTTTTGGCCCTCAGAAATCATGGTGTTCAACGAACATCCTCTAATTGAACATTTGGGAATCACTGGCACCTCCCTGCAAGGCTGGCCAGCTGTGCTAAGGTGCAGAAACTATCAGGCCATCACAGGTACAGGAGACGGACCCCTGGACACAGGGTCCCATCTGGTATCTTCCCTAAACCTAAGAATTCTGACTGGTGTAGAAGTTTCCTTCAAGACGGAAACATGCTGTTTTCAACAGTCCTGCCATAAACTCTCCTTGTGGAATTAGGGTTCTGTCTGCAGTGAATGCAACCAGCCAATAGCAGGAGAGGCTCAAAAGCTGCAAATGGCCTCTTAACTTCCTATTGACTATTGTCTTCATTAGCTTCTCCCTGTGGAGCAAGGTCATTAAGAAGTTGCCAAGTTCCGTTTTAAAAAGATTGCACTCTATGTCTGAAAATCAGGAACAAATTTTAGGATTTTTCCAGGCAGAGCTGCTTTGGCTTCTTTTCATTTTTCATTTTTTTAAGAGAAAACACAGTGAACGAAAGGCTATTTTGTCTCACTTTTGTTTTCAATATGTCACCATTAAGGAAATTAATTAAGTGACTCTTACATTAGTAGGTATCCTTGGGAGAAACGGCTTTTTGCAACCAAATGAAACGATCAAATTCTGAGCTTTCTAGTCCTGAGATTATCCGGCCTGAATTAATCTTAAAAACAAATTCTCAGAGTTTCAGAAGGTGTAAAAGAGGAATTTACCGATGCACTTGGATTACTGGGCTTTGCTATTTGACGTCTAAGGGAACTATCTGAGTTGAAACAATATTTTTAAGCCTTGCTATTTTACCTTTGGTGAACAATTAATGTTGTTATATATGAAAAGAAACTGGTTTTGACTTCCTTTTTCATAACACCTACTCAGAAAAAACAAATAATATATATTAAAATTCATTAGCATTTGGTAATTTTTTCTTGATTTAGTATTTATTTTTTTTAAAAATTTTAAAGATTTTATTTATTTATCTTTAGAGGGGAAGGGAAGGAGAGAGGGAGAGAAATATCAATGTGTGGTTGCCTCTCGTGCGTCCCCTGCTGGGAACTGGCCTGCAACCCAGACATGTGCCCTGACTGGGAATCGAACCATGGTCATTTGGTTCCCAGGCCCGCTCTCAATCCACTGAGCTGCACCAGCCACAGCTGTATTTATTTTTTAAGTCTATTTTATTGACTATGCTATTACAGTTGTCCCATTTTTTCTCTCCTCTTTATCTCCCTCCTGCTTGCTCCCCCAATCCTCCAGCATTCCCCCCCGCCTTAGTTCATGTCCATGGGTTGTACATATATGTTCTTTGGCTTCTGCATTTCCTACGCTATTTTTTCTTTCCATAGAGAAAGTACATAGTTTATAAATTCATAAATGTACAGCTGGTAAAATTTCACCATGAGTGTGGATGAATCTGGAGAATATTATGCTAAGTGAAATAAGCCAGGCAGATTTAATAATTCTTTACAGGTTATTTTAATATATTTTACTGATTATGCTATTACAGTTGTCCCATTTCCCCCAATTTCTATTATTATAAATAACTTTCCATCAAATTTTATATAGAATTTATTTAAATCTAGATAAGTAATATACTACTAAATTTGTATATGGTATGTAATAAAAGAGATAGCAAAAAAAATACCTTACAGATTTGTTTGGAAAATGTCATTTTACAGGAGTTAAAATAAACCTTCAGGGAAGTACACAATCTAAATTTACATGCCTACTTAATACAGTAGAATCAGAACTCAGAACCTGACTCCAAGTTTAAAATATTAGTTTTTTCCCTGTATGTCTACACATTCCTTCTGAGACCATACACCGCTCAAAACAACTAATAATCTCAGATTACTTTCGTGCATATAAACAATATTCATTCATTTTTTTCTGAGTGCATTTCTCCCCACATACATCACATCATCTATAATTTCCTTCTTTCTGTCATTTTGAAACTACCCCTTCTCCCGAGAAGTTCACAAGCTCCCCGCCCCAACTAAACACCTTTCCTTTCAAAACTGCCTTCCCTGGAAATCCTGGGTGGGGGCTAATTCCAGCAGGGAAATTGTATTGATACTTAAAGGTCTTCACAAGAACAATTCCAAACTAAAACATTTTTTTTTTTTTTTTTGAATACAGGCAAGGTGCCAACAATGACAAACTCAACCCTGAACCCTCATTCTGTCTGTTACCACCTCAGTAAGACATTATTGTCCCCTGAATCTCATCTGGGATGAACCAGAAGAATTGGGTTTCAAATCAAAGTAGAGGAGTTCATTGAAAATGCATTACGTTTGTCCTACAGTAGAAGTGACAATATAGTTGAATACTTTTCATATATTTGTCAGAAAACTAAAGTATAATGGGGACGATAAGTCCATCTCTTGTTATCAATTCTTTACTGAGATCAAATCCACTCACAGTGCTTTTGATAAAATTATGTCTAAGGGGATAAACGGTTACCTTGAAATCAACATTTCTATTACGTTATCTCTCACCAAATCTACCAACATACTATAAGAAACTCTACTTTTTAAAATGTAATATTGCAGTAAGGTAACTCAATACTGACTCTGAGTAACGGCGTTCAGTTCCAGCATACACGTCGAAGGATCGGGGTTCTGCACGTGCATTAAACGTTTACATTAAAAAATTCAATTTCAAGTTCATTGTCTAAAGACAATTAAAACGATACAGGCTCTGTAAAAGATCCCCCATCCTTTCATCCGATTCCACCCGATTGTGACCTTTATCTCCTTCTCTTAATAACTTTGCTTTGTAGGCTGTATCATATGTGAAAACTTCCTGTTCCCCCAGTTGATTTATGGTGCTTCTAACTGTCATATTTTGCACCGAGTTTATGAATTTGGGGGATGTTAGCAGAGAAAGAATGGGGAATACACACTTCTCTGTTCTGCATATCATTAGATACTGAACAACCCCTGCAGAAAACATGTTTTCTTGGGGCCAATTCTATGATTTAGTTAACTACACGTAAGGAAGTAAGAGATGCAGGGTTCATTCTGTTTATAACCTATTTTGTTTCTGTCCTATAACCGACTCCTCACTCCAGATAATAAGAACATTTTTTTAAGTTTTCAGGATACAAAGTATAAAATTACATTTGCATTGTCTAGAATATAAGAAATCATTCCCTATATTTAAGAAGTGGAACATCTTAAATTATTTTACGTGTTTAATATAAAGGGTATATAGTAATTAAAACCACCTAAATAAATTATAATTTACCTTTTCACCTTTGGAGCCTTTGAGACCTCGGACACCATCCGCTCCCTAGGGAACGAATTAGAAAGATTAAATGACTACAATGTCTTACATTGAAATTAAACAATGTGGAAAAAAACAGCATTTACCTTCACTCCTCTGGGGCCGGGATAGCCAATAGGACCCTGCGGACCAGGAGGACCCTAAAACAGACACATTGCAATGTAACACGGAACACGTTCCAGTGCCGCTTCTTAACATGTTATAACATTACCAAGTAATCTACAAGAATATGCTATTTTACTACTGGCAAAAATTTCTTGGGTAGTTTTACCATTAATTTCTAAAGTCAGAGGTGATAAACAAACCATGTGAGTAGCCCTACTTATTCCGAACTTATCGTGTCGTATATTCATGCTAAAAATGTAAGATCAATATTGTCAAAATATTAAGTAGTATAATAATTATATAATTAATAACTAGTTTTCTAAGCCTGAAAAAGATCTGATGTCCTCAGTGCTTACAATAGACAATTACAGAGTAACCAAGAGGATCAATAATTTCTAACCAAATACTGGTATACATCAGTAGCATTCACATCATTAATAATAAGATCGAAACGGTGTATTTCCCACTGCTGGTTTAATGTCACTAGCCTATGCAAGGGAAACAATATGTTATATATAATATATACTTTCCCCAGTAATTCGGAGTATTTTAATGAGAATCAAAAACTAACAACTCTAAATAAAAATGATCTGACCCCTGCTACTGTTATCCAAACTGGTATTAACATTAAGATTTTATTTAAATATTTTGATCATTGTTGCTATTATAATTCAGTCTCTTCTTCTTTAAGGGTTATCAGAAAGTAGGAAGTGAAAATAAAGTTTGAGTGATATAAACAGTTTACTGATATTCAGTAGTTCTTATCCAATTTCATTATTATAATACATAGTCGTTTATTCCACATATACTACATACTCAAAATGTGGATTTATTTCCAATCATGAGAACACTTAAAAAAATAAATAAAGTCTAATAAAATTGCTAATAGAAAATTAAAAGTTATCTAATATATATCTGTTTATCATATCCTAAACAAAAAAGAATTCTAGGAAAATGACATTTTTAAATGTTTTAAAAAAATATTTGACAGAGAGAGATCGATTTGTTGTTCCACTCATTTATGCATTCAAAGGTTGACTCTTGCATGTGCCCTGACGGGATTGAACCTGAACCTTGATGTATCAGGATGCTGCTCCAGCCACCTGAGCTACCTGGCCAGGGCAGAATATGATATATCCATCAGGTAGCCACAATTCTTTTGAAAGTTAAGACAGGTGGAGATGAATTATTTTCTGATACTTATTCTCATATTCACATCCTTAAGCAAGCATGGAAAAATATATGTACCATAGAGATCAGAGTAGGCATTTTCTCTGGGAGGTAAGGGGAGAGAACATTTAAAGGGGGACTTTGTAACATACCACAGCACCCTTATCTCCAGATGGGCCTTCTTTTCCAGGATGACCCTAGATTTAGCAAAAGTCGACACTGGTAAGGTGCAATATTAACAGCAGTTTATAGCACTACTAAATTGTTCTTTTTTCCAAACTACTGAGATCTTACTCGTTATGTTTCTAAACAAACAGAACATGTTGCATCTACATACATGTCCTTAAATAACATTGAAAACGGTGGCATTTGGACAGACGCAAATTTTATCAACTACATAATATATCTGAGAGTGCTTGGGAAAAAGCTATAAAAAATACATATTATTCTTCATCAACAATTCAACCTCAGTCTCAATTACAATCTTACATAAAAATATTTGAATCTGACTTTTATTTTGCATATTGATCAAATGATCATACACGCATCTTCAAAGAGAACTAGGCATGAGGGTGAGATATTTGAAAATACAGCAAGATCATAAATAACACTGAGTGTTAATAATCAAGTTATGGAGAGTAAATGAATGAAAATGTTCGGCTCTATCACAATCATACTCAATCCACGCAAGTAGAGAAAGAATGAAAAATGTATCCTAGTTCCGAGTAAGAAGTTGGAAGGGGGGCAAAAAGAAGCATCAATAACAAATTTCTAAAACCAACAACTGTGGAGATTACAGAATTACCTTATTGATTACTAAGTGATAGCATATAGAAAGCATTGCTATTTTTCTAGAAAAGGTGGGAATCCCTGAAGGCTGACGGATTTCTGTGGAAGTTGTCTGAGGACGTGTACAAATGGGGAGGAATTTCACCTGGACTCTTAAGAAACATGTACCTTGACTTGGAAGAGAGTATGAGAAAGTACTTTCTGTGGGAAGAAAAGGACAATGAAAAGAAAGGTGTAACAGTGGACAAGCTGGGAGCACGTAGACAGAGCAGTGAGTGGCAGGAAAACACCAGATGCTGGCCAATGGCACGGACTCGGGAACAGGTCTTTCCAAAGATCACTGCATGCTCCTTAGGCAAAGCTATGCCATAGGTGTGCCACCCTGAAATGGTGCCTTAGAGGTCAATGTTTAATTACTGGCTCGATTTGCTCTTATTACTGAATTCATAAAATCATTATGAAAGCACATGTAAAAATCATTTTGAAGAGAATATGCAGAAATGTAACAACCAGGTAACTATTACTTACAGGAGGCCCATCAGCTCCAGGGAGTCCCGAAAGCCCTGGTTTTCCTTGTGGTCCCTAACCAAAGAGAGAAAGAGAATGTTTTGGTTTAAGAAATGAAACTAATGGAAACTCTGGCTTTGTGCATAGCAATATACCACTGATAAAATTCTTAACTTGAGTCACTGGCTTTTATATATAAGCCACACAACATGTAAACAGCTTTGACTATACCATACAGAAGGAATGGCATGTAGAAATAAACAAAACCAAACTCAACACATACCAAAAACAGGCTAGTGTTCGACCTGCTTAATAATCCTAAATGTCTTTTTAAGTTAGCAGACTAATTTTGCACACCACACTAAACTGGAGTTTCAAGAATAAAAAAGAAAACAATGTAAGTCAGAAATACATTGATTTATAACATAGAAAAAGCAAATGCTGGAATATATCCATCAATGATACTGTGCCAAATCTAATAATTATGTAGCAACATTGATGAAACATCAGGACTAATTAAAATATTCTCAAAAATAAGTTATAGTGTGACAGTTCTTCATAGGCCACGAAATAACATGAATCTGATGTTTTCATGCAAAAGTGGCATCGCCTAATACTCCACTAACAAATAGTAACAGCAACTTTGAGCTCAACAGTTCAACCCCCATTTAACCACAGAGGGTTTTAAATCTCGTTTAACTTGACCATCGATCGCAAAGGCTGGTGCTTGGTGAGAAGGGCTATTGCAAAGTAGTTAGACCCTTTCTTAGAGAAAACAGGCATGCTAGTAAAAAAAAAAATGGACTCCCCCCAGTCCTTAGTGTCCAGGCCATTATTGCTGACTGGTCAAGATGTAAGCCAGGATCTAGAGACAATGGAAAAGGTAAGGACCGAGTAGCAGTCCTGGGCTGTGGGCAAAACTGAGGGTGTTCCCCATTCTCAGCAAGTGTTTAGGAGAAGCACTGTATTCACACAGACTGACAGTACAGGATTTTACAGGGCCTTCCTCAACGCACTGTGCAGCAACAACAAACACATAAAAATAACCTTTAACTTGAACCATGTAGATTTCACAAGCGAGGTTAGCTGTGCCTCAAGGAAAGGATTTAAACATCTCAGTCTCCTTCGCCACTCTGCAAAGTCACGCTTAGTCTGGTAGCCTTACATGTTGTAATAACTATTATAAAGCACTAAATTTCTTTTTTAATAATGGCAGGGTTTGGACCATCACTGAGATTATCTTCAGTATCAAGATAATGGTCGTAGAGTCAATCAACAGACTACATCTGGCAACAAAAAGGAGCCAAGAGTTCAGCCAAGTAAACATTCAGAAAAGGCAAATCCACAGACACTGGCTGTGTGGGGAGGGGGCCGGGAGGAGGAGGAGTGTGGATTTGCACAAGATTTCCTTCTGGACAGTAGAGTCTAAATATTTGATAATGGCACAGATCGGTCAATGTAGTAAAACCCCGTCTAAATATTTGATAATGGCACAGTTTGGTCAATGTAGTAAAACCCCTTGACTTGTACACTTAAAATGTACACTTAAAATGAAAGAAATCTTGTAGTATGAAATGATACTCCCATTAAAGCTATGATTTTTTAAAAGTTAAATGTTCCTAGAAATGAACGAACATAAGAAAAAAAAGGCAGTAGGGAGTCCAGCTGACACTGTGCGGTAACTATGGGGACAGACAACAACACCTAGGAAATCTGGCAGGAAAGATCAGAAGAACAAAGACGTCACTTTAATTAAAGATTTATTCTTGTTTTGATCCAGGCATCAGGTTATTAGCAAGAACCTCATTTGTCATTTCTATCTAAGAAATGGTGGCAGTGATAACTTCACAATTTCCCCTTAATCAGATCTTGCCGCAGACCCTTTGTCACAAGCCAACCTAATTACGTGTTTTAAATAATGAGAAAGAAAAGAAGGACAAAACTACAGGAAAAACACTGGTTCACACCAGTACCTTTTTGAATTAACACGTCTAACAGCGTCACATGCGGAAGCTTCCGAAATGGAAACTCTCAGACATCTCATCGCTTTCTGTTTGGGGGCTGTGTGTACGACTTCTCCCCACATTGAGCTCTTATGCTGAAACCCCAGATTGATTCCTTCCGAGCTGAGCCATCGAGATATCCGATCCACAGCACCCGCCTCAGGGTGGCAGCCCACACTGCTCCCCGGGCAATATCAGAACAAAAGCGTAGCTCACCTTCTCGCCCGGAGGACCGATGGGACCTTGCGGACCAGGGAGACCCTGTAATAAGGGAATGGATTTCATTAATCAGGAATCATATCCCAAGAATACACTTTTTAGGATAGTAAATTATTAGCCTTCTCTCTCACATTAAGTGTGTAAATGAGTTAGGAGACTCTATATACGTTTCCCGCAATCCCCAGAAAGTTCTGCAATGCTCGGAGAAATCTTATCCAGCTTCTCTTTCCGCAAGGGAACTCTACTGGGATGCTGTTCAGCGCCCTCCTGCAGGGGGCGCTGTTCTCCCGGCATTCCATGAACCCTGAGTGAACCCTGAGTCTCCCTTTTCTCTTGAGGACTCTGCACGTTTACCCAACGTTTGTTTCTGTTTTTGTCTTTCAATTACGGTTTACATTCGACATTCATTTGTATCCGTTTCAGGTGTCCAGCTTGGTGGTTCAACAATCACATGCTTTACAAAGTGGTTCCCCCAGTATCTCTAGTCCCCACCTGGCACCGTACACAGTTATCACAATATCACTCACTGCGTTCCCTGTGCTGTACTTTAAATCCCCGTGACTGTCCTGTAGCTCTCAATCCGTACTTCTGCATTCCTTCACCTCCTTTACTCAGTCCTCCAACCCTCCTCCCCTCTGCTCACATTTTTTTTTTCTTTTTAAAAGGGTGGGGAAAGAATGATCTTCCTAGTTACACACTGCAGCCATTTTTAGCTCTACATACAAGATTTTGAGGCTGTCGGTCTTCCCGTAAGATGACGCCTCTTTACCCCATGAGGTCAAAGGAGCTGTGCCAGGGGCTCCGACTCACCTGCGGCCCTGGGTTCCCCTGTTGACCGGGCGGTCCCGGCTCCCCTTGGGGGCCCTGCCAGAGGAAAAGATGCAGAATCCTTCACACACCTATTTCACATAATGGGTTTTTTCTTCCCAGTTGAAAGACAGTCCCCACATTAATTTTCCCCGTAGAGAATCTGGAAAGTCTCGCAAAATATTAATGCCTGCAGAAGCTAATGGACTTAGCAAATGCTGTAGGAAATCTTTATTTCAGATCTAGCAACAGTCATTCATTAGGACCCAGGTTTGTCGAAGTGAGTTATTTCATGGATGCTTTTCTACATACCATGTTCCCCTTCGGTCCTTGGGGGCCATCGATCCCTGCGATACCCTTCAAAGAAGAAAAACGTACGGACGGTTATAGGTTTAGACGCTACGGCAGAATATCAAAAACCGTATCATAGCATGATACCCATTAGCCTAGGGTCAGTAGAAACCGTTTTAGAATTGGATGAAAACCAGGAAAAAGGAGAGATCTGTACTGCCTCTCCTGTCCACCTCCCCCCTGGAGAAAACCCGGAGGCCTTTTCCACTGGGTACTGGGAATGGGACAAGAAGCATTCAAACAGATCAAAGCAGATCCTTAACATTAAAACAGACCAACTAAAAGGAGGAGAGAAGCTAAACTGATAAGCAGACCTTTAGGCCGGAGAATAGTTCAAGGCAGGAAATATAGGGCCTTCTACTGAAAGCTCTCAGGCCTCCCGGCTTGAAAGCGAACAAGCGTCCCCAGCAAATTCTGCGCATCCCAGCAACACTTACCGGCTGCCCCGCAGGTCCCGGGCTGCCCCTTGGCCCCAGCAAACCCCGAGGACCCTGGAAGAAAAAAAGCCAGAACCCCACATACCTCCGTAAGAAAAGCCCTCAAAACATGCTTCTTCCTCTACAGAAATTTTAATGCAATGTTCAGAGGAGAAATACCTGCCCCTCATGTCTTCCCACAATGAAAAGTGGTGTTTAAAATACCATTTTATGTCCCGCAAACAGCCAGGGTTTATACCGACCCAGAGGCCACAATGGGTAACAGTGAATCTTTTCTGCGGACACCGTGGGTCTTTGATTCTGTAACTTTACGTGTGAATCACTTGGGAACTTGTTAACATAAGTAGTTTACTATCTGAAATATGTCACTTTGGCATCATTTCTGATTGGAATGGCAGCACAGGATCTTGCTAAACTTCATTAATTCGATTACACAGATAGATGTGGTTCCTCATCTGTTTTAAATGATTTTGCTTTATTAACGTATTTGTTTATTTGCTTATTTGTTTATTTTAGAGTGAGTAGAAGTGGGAGAGACAGAGGGGGACACACAGGGGCTGCTGCCCCGACTGGTATCGAACCCACAATCCTTCTGTGCTCAGGGTGACACTCCAATGAACTGAGCCACCAGCCAGAGCTCATCTCTTCACATTCGGGTTCATTCCACCTGGACAGACCATTCACTCAGAGAAAGAGGCCCTGGGTAACTATGGTTGCAGATTACAGAAACCATTTTCCTAAAAAGATGTTCTAAAAAGTACTTTTGTTTAATCGTAAACAATTTTTCCCACTTCTGTTCTCCCTCCTCCAACTGCTTTGTTTTTCCCCCTTGTTTCAAAAGTCGATACAATAATTCACTCCTCATATTCACTGGAACATATTCATATGCCTTTGAGTAGACAGGCTGTAGAAGGAGGCAAACTATTTCTTAGGTAAAGGTCCAGATAAAGCAGAAGACAAGACAATCACTTTTTTTTTCCTAAGTGGCCTCTTGCAAAAAAAAAAAGTCATATTATTTCCCTGAGTTTCTGCAGACACGCACCTTCCTGGAGTGAGGTGCCTGCTCTAGTCTGTGCTTTGATTAACTAGCTTTGGGTGAAACTTCCAGCTTGGTTTTCTCATTGGTAAAATTCAGTGGAGAAAAAATATAATCTGTCACTTCTTATTCCTCTAGCTGGCATGCTGAGCACCTCATTGTTCTGTTGTTTTGTTTGTTTTTCTTCCTGGTAATAAGCTTCATTTATCCTAAATATGTAAACAGATTCTGAAGCTGCTGATAGAAACAATGGAAATGGAACAGAGAAGCCCCCACAAAAACTGGACCAGGTTTCCTGGCTGACAAGATGGTGTATTTTTACATTTCTTTTCTTGCAAATTCTCTACATCAGAAAAGCTCAATGTACCCCTATCCCTTTTAATTTTGTTTTTGCATGATAATGACCTGGTTCGCTTCCGTAAGACCGGCCCAGTCTCCTGAGCTTATTACTGACTTTCCACGTTTGACACCAGTCGTTATTCCTCCAAAATGGGGTATTAGTTAAAAAGAAAAAAGTTGCTTACAGCTTCACCTGGAAGACCCCTGGGTCCAATCTCTCCGTCTTCTCCCTGTCGTTCCGAAATGAATGAGAGGTGTTGAAAGACAAATACCTTACGATCTCACCTTTAACAAGAAGCTAAACAACAAAACAAACAAGCAAGTAAAATATAACCAAAGACATTGAAATAGAGAATGGGGGACAGCGACCAGAGGGGAGAGGGGAGGGAATTTAAGGGGAAGAAAGGGAAGGATTTACAGGAACTAGTGTAAAGGACACAGGGACAACAGCTAAGGGGGGTGGAAATGGGAGGGAGGTGGGGAGCACGGGAGGGGCGGGTTGGGCTGGGATGGGAGTAAAAGACAGAAAACTGTCCTTGAAAAATAATGAAATAAAAAACAAAGCAAAAAACACACAAAATGAGTGGGAGGGTGATGTGACTAGACAATGCTTCACTTCAACTCGATTTCATTCTCTTGTGCTTAACTTTACACGTTTTCTTTTAAAAAATGAAGTTCAATGTACCCTCATTCCATCTTCTCCAGGAGGACCGGGCGGGCCCTGGGGACCTCGTTCACCCTGGTAAATAAACACCAATGTGATTAGAATGAGAAGTGAGGCAGAGGAAGGTTTAGAAGACTGTTCTATAGCCTCCTACTGAATGGAACAGGACATTCAATAGCGAAACTTAGGATTTATTTGCCCTCCTCAGGATCCTTCATAGAAAAATCATACTTTTACAAGAACTGGAATTGCACTAGTATGATAGGGAAATATTTCCTTCATTGTCGACACAAAAAGAGTTTAAATAAAACACCCTAAGTAACTCCCAGACATCAAATTATTATAAGGTAAACCTTTAAAATACTCTTTTGCTGAAGATTGTTTCAAACATGGATACACTTTGGTGATTTTAATTTCATTTTTTTCCTGCTTCTAACATAATTCATATCACATCAGCACATCTCTAGAAGACTAAAGGGATTTTGAATTTCTTTAAAAAGCAAACCAGTCTCTCTGGACATGTAGAAGGCATGCACTATCTTGCTAGATATCTTGCTAGAAAAGAGTTCTCTTTTCTTTCTTTCTTTTTTAATTCTCTAATTTATCTACAGGTTATCCTACCTTCATTCTTAAGTTCTGAAGAAGAAAAATGTAAAAATCCAAAACTGATCTTTTTTTGAGAGACCACTTCTGCTGAATTTCCCTGTAAAAATATCTGCTGGATGGATTGCTGTCCGCAATGGTGGTTTATTTGGTCTTAGCCAATGACCGACCCTAGGACTGGTGTACCAGGTCATATTATCACAAAGCTCGTCATGTCTCTGTCGACCAGGACCCTCTCATTTGGAATAATAAAAGAGAGTGCAGGACCTTGTTAAACTAAAAAACAGATTCCCTACAGATGCCTTTTTTGAGTGTATATCTACAAATAAAAAAATGTAAGGTGAATGCAAGAGAAAAATTGAGGCAATTATAAAAAAACCAGAGGCAAAGTGGAATCTCTACAGTTGTTCTTTTATAATTTATGTTTTCCATGTACATGGTTATAAAAATCCCACCTCAATTTATGTTTGCATGAAATGAGTATTTTAAAGGCTAAGAACAATTCAAGAACTTATGTTGATACTGCATGTATAATTGTACTTATCTTCCTTTAACTCTCTAGCAGGTGTAATAATTTACCAAATGGAATTACAAACATTTAGTTTTCTTCTAATTCCCTAGAGTGTATCAATTCTAAAATACTCCCTAATAATCTTGCATCATCTCGGTACAAAATGTGACCAAATATGGTGTATCTTACCCTGTGGCCTTTGTCTCCTGGGAGACCCGGAAGTCCATCGAATCCTCTATCCCCCTGTAAAATCGTCATCATCAACACCATGCTCATCACCATCCCCACCATCATCCTCCCCATCCCCACCATCATCATCACATTTCCAGTCTGATCCAGTAGTGTAATCTGAACGTGACATATTCTTTCAAGTCAAGGAACTTTATTTTCAAATACAAAATGCCGAGGGGTGAATTGTCATCAGGATGGGAATATACAAACAACTGAGCTCCTGACCTTTGCCCCAGGTTCTCCTGGCATTCCTCTTCCTCCATCAGCCCCCGGTCGACCCTGACAATGGCAAGAACATGACTCAGCAAAAGGGACTCCCTACCAGCACAGAGTCAAATGAAACAAAATAGCTGACAATTTCAGATGCTCGAAAAATACACGGTGAGAGCCGACCATACCCTCTTTCCAGCTTTTCCCGTTGGGCCAGGCGGACCTTGGACACCACGTGGACCCTGTATCAAATCATCATAATTAATTCATTTTATATAAAATGCTTGATCAATGAACTCAATCACTCTGAGTGAGATGGTTTCAGGAATTTACATCCACTTAACTTTACCTTAATCATTTTAACGTAAGAAAATAATCTCTCCTACAAAAATCCAGATAAAGCAGGAAAAAAAGAGAATCAATTTTTCTAAATGGCTTCTTGCAAAGAAAGAGTCGTGTGATATTATTAAGTGTACTTAGACACAAACCTTCATTAACAAAAGGAACACAGTAAGATTTTAATCTTCTAAAAAAGTCCTCAATGACTCATTTTTTCCTCAACACCTGGAGGGTTTTTTATTTCCTTTGGCTGAAAACACTCTTAACCCATCTGTCTTAATCCGATTCTTTTTCCAACCCCTTTTCCCCCTCCTTTACCTTATTTTTTGAAGTCTCTCCCTTTTTATTCTTTTATATTTCATTTATCATGCTGATTTGTAATTGCTTTTTCTGACAGCTGAGTCTCCCATTGGACTGTTAACTGTTGCAGCTTTGGACTTCTTCTCCATCACAGGGCTACCACTCAGCACAGGGTTTTTCAATCAACTACAAAATGCTGACGGGTGACCGGCCCTGATGCAAATTACTGACTGGCACCGTGCCCGGTCAGAGTCAAGGTTAAAGACACTCAGTACGCCTCTCCCCTGAATCACTACAACGCAATGTTGTGTCTACATAAAAAGTCTTCCAAGGAGATTGATTAACATTTTTAAATTACAGAGCTAATACTAATAATAGGTCAAATGCAGTTCCCGCATAAATATGATACAGGCCTGTATATTTAACTATATTTAATGAACTATATCTTTTTACAGTTAATTTAAACAGTATGCATATAGTGAATGCGGTGGAAAATGTAACACATTTACAAACAATTTTATGATCACTGTAAAATACTGATTATAGAAATTATGAAATTAAGGCTACCACTTTAAAGCTAAAGAATATAGTATTAAAATTTTTGTAGTGAGAAGGCAAGAGACAATTAATAATGGGACAAATCTTAGTTTTTAGTGAAAATGGTCATTTGATAGTGCATCTCTGGAGTCAAGAAAAACCACAAAATCCATGAACACGACTGCAGTATGTTTTCAGATTCACCTATTATCGAAAGATGTAAGTTTGATCAAAAAGCTCCCACATTTAGTAAAAGGTTACACTTCTTCAGTCCCCATTCAGTGTCATGTCAATGACTGGATGCACGTCTCTCTTAGGCGCACAGGCCTGCCACCCCTTTAGAGCGATATTCACCAAGCACGAGAACACCTCCACCTTCTGCATCCCCCAGAAGCTCTTTGGATTTTTTTCTCACGACAACGTAAATAAAAGGTGGTGCATTCACACGGGAAGCACCACTCAGCAACAAAAAGGAATTGGCAGAGATGCACTCATCAGTGGTGCGGGATCACGAAGGTGCCGCTGCGCCCGGAGAAAAGCCGCAGTCAGACGGGCACATCATGAACGAGGTTGTTGACAAGGGCATCTTGAAAAGATAAAACTCGGGTGATGAAGCACAGGTCGGGGAACTGTCAGGTGGCAGGCTGGGGAGAGGATGTGACTGCAAAGTGGGGGCACCAAGAAATCTGGGGGATTACAGATCTTGATGGCGGTGCTGAATACATAGAATATCAATAGGTGTTAGAATTTAAATTTTCTTTATAATATTCTGTAAATAAAACTACTTTAAAAAAGAAAAAGACAAATCAGTGGCTGGCTAATAGAGAGGGCTCCTGTACCCCAGTCCGAATGTATATTTTTACTGAGTACATTAAGAAGAATTTCTTTGAAATGAATGCATTTATAGAAGTACAACACATTTCAGTTTTGTTTTCTAGGATCAGTAAATTTCATCATGTGCCTATATTGAATGGCTCTGTTTATTTATTATCATTAAAGAAAGAAGAGCAATACTTTTCATTTGGCACCATGTAGGTAAAATCTAAGATCTTTAAAACATGTCCGCTCAGATAATCTTAATTTCTCTGCATTTCCTCAGTTCTACATGGGGTTCGGAGTTAACTTCTTTGGAGGCTGTTAAATATCTTTTTTGAGTAAATCTACTACTAGATTCCATCTCCACAGAAGCTATCTTGGGCTGGAGGCAGGGCTGGTATAAGTAAAAATGCCAGAGTTCTGCTCCGCTTTGAACAATCCCAAACCAATTTAATAGTCTGAAGGGCTAATACCATCAAGCCTTTTCACTTCCTAGTTTACCTACTTTTAATATTGTTTAAGTGAATCAAGTCATTGGCAGTCAACCAGCCACAAAGGATTTTTCAGAGAAAGGAGTTGATGGGCGCTTAAAGACAGTGTAAGTAATTTCCTTGCTCATAAAACAAGTGGCAGATTCTTCAGCCTCCCGACTTGAAAGAAAAAGGTGAAAATAAAATAGGCGACATGAATTATTGTTACCTGAGGACCCGGGTCACCACTCTCCCCTTTGGCCCCTGATAAGCCAGGCACCCCCTGTGGAGACACAGTGAAGACAAAACATTTCAGTTAGCAATCCCCTAACCACTTGGATCTTGTCCATTATTTAAAGTGCATTTCATCCAATGAATATGATTCTATTAACACAGGAAAATGTTCAAGTCCTTCCATTGCAATGCCTCTCCTCTCAGACTTTGTATGGCAGTGTGTGAGCTACGCTTAAAAGACTCCCTTTTCAGCGTCAGTCCACGGAAGCCAGTTTCATGAAATCACACCAAAACGTCCTTCCCCGTGCGTAGTCTCACGCACTGCCCACGGCCCACGGGTCTTATCATTGTACACGCCTGGGCACCCAAGGCAACACGGTCTCACCGAATCAGTTCTAGACGGAGTGCATTAGACAGCAAGGACCTGGCGACGCGGTCCCACTGGGAAATCTATCAGACGTAGAATAAAAAATTATTCTACGGCAAGAACAGATGCTACGGCTATCATTATCATTGTCCTGAGATCATGTCAAAGCGTTTTTTTCCCCCAGACGGGCCTGTGTTTCTCCTACGATAGTAAGTCCTTGTGACAGATGCCTCTCCTAAACATTTACATAATGCAAAAGGTGCAACAAAAACCTGGCACGTTAACTGGAAAACACTGGAAATCATTTTACAAAGGTCCTATGAGTTTTAAACATAACTAAAACCGGATGCTCCTTTTAAAAGCGCTCACTGCGCCTTTTGGAGCCGTAAGGGAAGGGCAAACCAAACAGTCTGCTTTTGGGTGAAGCCGCGGTATGTCGCGTTGTTCTGTTTCAATCGGTGGCCTGACGACATAGAATAAATAAAAAATAAAATGTGCAAGAAACGCGAGGCCATGAACACTCCCCTAAAGAGATTCAGAACATTAAAGCGTGGGGATAAGAGTTAGTTCGTGCTGTAGAAGTATACTTTGTGTGTTTAGGAATTGTAGTGTTTGTTTAAGTCAAATTCGTAATCAGTGTACTGAATCGAAGTACAAGAAGATTGAAATTATGCGGTGGGAAAATGTTAGCTAGCTAGCGCCTTCTAGTGGCTGCAGCGTAAAATAACTGCGAATATGACTCGAGAAAGGCAGCAGGTCAAAAACATGAACATTCCAACCCTGAGAATTACAAGAACGTCGACTTTCAAACTTCTAATTAAGAATTCTTGCGGCTAAATTCCTTCAAGAGAAAAGCTGGTTCTACACCAAGTCTGATTATTAATCACTGAATTGAATGCTAGGACAGTCAATTTATTTTTAATTAATTTACTGCATTATATCCTCTGTATATAAGCACTACCTACTCAACAGATTGTAATTACTTGCCCAAACACTTATTCAAAAAATTGTCATGCAATAATTGAGAGCAACAGAACTGGTGGGGGGGAACATCTTATACATTTTCTGCATATTTTGTCACGTAAACTTCCATTTCTCCATAAAAGCAATTGGACAAATTAATTGAATAAAGGAATTTTTTCATTGAAAGAAAGTATATATTTTCTTAAAGTATTGATGTAGACTTCTTTTCTAATTCTTAATGTATAAATTTTTTTTGCACTCCAGCATTAATAGATACGTGAGAGTCTGTAATGGTTTCATGTTTTGGAGCAAAAGGTAATAGAAGAGAAAACGGTGAAAAGAAACAATATGAATTTTTTTCTACTACTCACCTTTAATAGTTAAGGGGCCTGAGACTTTTCCGTAACAAAGACGTAAGCAGTGAAATTAATCAATCTTGGACATAACATTGAGAGCACGTACATGGTAGTTAATGGTAAAATATATCAGCGTTTCCCAAACATTCGTGACCAGAGGAATCAGAGCGGTGAACTCTTTACAAATAGAGCTTGCCATTTCCACCCCTGAACCTGTGTGTTCAGAGTCTCAAGTTCAGAGCCCAAGAACTTCTATTTTTAATAAAATAAGTGGCTAATGCTTCTGCCCCCTAATCTGTGAAGCACTAACATGTGGCGACTTTCCTCGGTCATATAGAAGTGCACCATCACTAACAAACCACTAAATATTGGCAATATTTCTCCCTGTGTTAAGAGACATGGAATCTTCCATGTTCCTTATTATAGTTTGAAAGGCAGAGCAGTGAAAATGAATGGTAATGCATTCCCTTGGTAATAATGCATATAGAATCATCTACAATTTAAATTCTGTGGAACATATTGTTAGAATGTGTGTTCCTCATAGGGCTGAGTACACATCCCTTCAAAATACATAGCATGTTATGAAATTTTCACAACTGAATCAAAAGAACTGTAAATTTATGTAAAACTATATAACAAACTGGAATAAAATACAAGGAGAAAGCTATTTCTTACCCTAATAAGAGTAAAACAAATTAAACACACTATATATTGATTCAAATTTGAATGAAACAGTTTTCCTGCAAGTGTCCACTAGTAAACCAAAGATAAGATTTTAATGTTCAGAGCAATATTTTCTATAAATACCTATTTCAAAAGTATGTTGAAAGCATATAAAATCATATGAGAGCAAATTAGACATACCTTTTTTATTGAAAAACAAATACTTATAATAGAGATTATTTATTCCATTAATTCTAAAATTGATGAGAACTTAATTTGGGAATCCCACAATGCTCTCTTTTTTCAAGAAAAAAATACAATTTGAAAAATAACTGCATTTTATGAATTGCTCCGCTGCTGAATATTTGGTGAGTTTCAAAAGATTTGAAGATACTTAAAGGAAACTATTTATAGTATATTAGCTTGTTAGCAAACTAGTAAGGAAAAATAGAACACTTATTTTCCAAGAGCCTCTAAAAGACAAGTAATTTCTATAGCATGCGGAGCACTTTCAGGAATCCTGGAGGCAGTCTGGAGTTACAGCCAAGTATCCTGCTTGTGCCTAATAAGATGAAATAATTTTTACCAACCTCACATATATTTTCCTGAAAATTCTGTTTACCATGAAATGAAGTCTCAAGAATTCACTGTAAAATTGAATTTTAATCATGGTATTTTGTGCACATAAATTATACTTATACTTGAAAAATTAATAGGTGGCTGTGTGGTACAGTTTTATTTCTCATTGTCTTTATTTCATTTGGAAACGTTGCATTGAAACCTTTTCATCAAAATTGACTGAGGACTCGATCGAAACTGGGAAAACACTAAGCGTGAGTGGGCACCGGCAGTCTCCCCAGCCAGAGGTGTGAACAATGCTTAGCCCCAGGTGTACAAGGAACTATTACGGGAAGAATTTAAACACACATCCTCTTATTGGGTGACCTACCACAGGGCCTGGTCTTCCGGTCAGACCCATCGGGCCAGGCGGGCCTCGCAGCGCGATCTAGAAAATAAAATGCATCCAACTTAGGAACGATCTGGCGGACTCTCACTTTCAACCACAGTGTGCATCCGCACAAGTTTTCCTTCAGTAACAGATGATCGACCCAAGTTCAACAGCTACATGCCAGAGAGAGTGCCTGATTACTGAAGAACTGCGACTTTCTGGAGTGATAAATGACCCATGTTAAGTATCAGTCATTTTTAAATCGTTGTAATGTGTGTAATCTTGTACCACATATTATTAAGGCTTATTCATTAAAAAGGTTAAAATAGATTCTTCCAGTAAGAAATCTAGAATCCGACATGTTTTTCTACCCTGAAGTGTACTTCAGCATAGTGTGCAGACCTCTCTTAAGAATATAGGTGCAGTACTCCTTGGAAATACTTCTAGAGGTGAACAATTTGGGTTGTTTTAAGTAAAAATTTTCCAGCTGCATTTTAGGGAAAATGATGACAATGACAGTCAAATGTCAAGATGCAAAACTGATCAGGAAGTGTTACGACAACACATTTCTATCAGCAAATCTCACTTTTAACGAAATATAGAGAAACAGATTTATTCTGTGAAATCGTGAACATGGAGACTGATTACATGCATTATTGATGTTGAAAATTAGGGCTATGAAATTAGCATACTTGAAAAGCTAAAACAAGAAAGGCACAAAGGATAAATACCTGACAGATGTTAAATCAGCATGGTGCATGATTTTTGAATATTAGTGATTCCAGAGGTGAATACTTAAGATTGTCCAGACATCAAAAATAATGCAGCAATAGAAATATGTAAAATTATATTAGAAAAGTGCACAAGATGAAAACAGTAGGATCCCCCAAATCCCACTGCTGACTCACCGTGAGATTTTTGACAACACACTTCTTAATCCTTGAGATTAAATATCTGAAAAATCGGAATTATAATGCTTGCTACCTTCTTCCGAGTAAGTTAAAAGGACTAAAAAAATGAGGAATTCAATGGCCTCCTGAAAAATTTACACTCAAATAATTACCTTTAATGTGTTCAAAATGATATGATTACTGCAGGAATCATTAATAAATTATTTTAAATATTTTTGTATTTGTTTATGCCAAGTCTAGTAAACAAATATTTACATTCTGTCTTTATACCTAATGTTAGCAAACTGTGGCGACTGTCTAGATTAATGGGAGGATTGAAAATGTAAGTGAATATTGATAATGAGTTTAAACTTAATGTTTTCAGATATTTTATACACTCACAGGTTTATCACAAAAAATAAAAATTATCACATAAGCGATTTACATCCCTTAGTGAGTAGACGCCCACAATCATACCAATTTAAGCCCTTAATTTCCTTTAAAAAATAAAATACACCATGGGCAAAAAGTATTAGGTGACTCTCAACTCTTTCCAGTCCCTCCTTTTGGTTTCCTTATGTATAATTTAATTACCATGAAGCTAATCCAGAATAAATAAAAGTACAGCATCGAAAATATAGGCACTAATACTGTAATAGCTATACATGGTGCCAGGTGGGTACTGGAAAGCTTGGTGGGACACTCTATCAACTACGTGACGATCTAACCCACTATGCCACCCACCTGAAATTAATACAGAATAATACTAAATGGAAACGTAATTGAAAAAAACTTCTTAAGTAAATTAAAGAAAACAAATATCTATTTGGCAAGTATACAGATAATAGACACTTGCAGCTGACAAAGAATTACAAATGGAATGAATTGTGTCAAAATATTACAGATTATAAGGGTGAGAGCTTAGAATAGCCCTGTGAAGGTTTCTTTCTTCTACAACAATGGCTAAGAAATTTAGTTTACTGAATCGTTTGGGATATCCTAAAAAATACAGGAGTTTAAGAGGAAACAAACTATCTCAACTTTGTCCTTTAACTTTATTCATTCCTCCCTGGCTTAGGCCCCAGGAGGAAGAGCTGGATGTGAAGAATAGTGAGTGCGGGGCATAAACCCATCAGTACTCTCCCCCAAAATGTAGACCATGCGTGTGTTACGGTTTGTGTGTTACTGCCGGAAGTGTATATGGCAATAGTGCAAGGGTCTGTCCTTTGACAAAGAAAATAATCCTTCTGGCCAGAGATATAATCTTAGCATTTCCCCATCTAAATTCCATGTACTATTCAGCAGTAAGTATTTTGTTCATCGTGGTAGCGCCCTCCAGAGGCGCACACCGGCACGTGCAGCATCAGGTTAGGGGAACACATGCTATTCTCACCCGCGCCTGCTGAAGGATCGCCTGCGCCTGCGCTTCCTGGGCAGAGATGGTCGGTCCTTTGGAGCCGTCACCGCCATAACGAAACTAAGGAAAGGGAACATAAAATCTCAAGAAACGCCTTTGTCTACCGGGTGCCTTAATGACTAGATAAAAGCCACTTGTCTGCAATGGTGGGATTTTATAAAAGTCCAGGTAACTGCGTCATGCATCACGATACCGAGATTTCTCTCTTTCGCTTCTCCTCGGACCATCTGCAAGGTCCCAGGACCATGGTTCACCATTTGCAGAAGAGGCAAGAGACCCCTTTCCAACCGTACATTCCAGAACTTCTGAAAACTCTACGGTCAGCCCCTACCAAGCATCTCTAATCGGCTGGTGCAGTAAAACGAGTGCTATTCACTTGTAAAAGTTCCAAATGCATTCTGTTCAGGGGTGGCTACAGACAGACCCATCGCCACTTTGTTGAGCAAAACTTTTGGAATCTATTTCCGTATATAGCGGAAACCTTCCTTGAGATATATGTATCTTGTTTACCTTTTCTTATACTAAAAAGCAGATCTTACCTATGTCCCTCCACAAAATTCTAAAATTTCTTTTTAATTTTAGCTCAACATGCAGCATGAGACAATTTCTCACTACACATTTGTGACTTGCAATTTTATTTGATTTTTTAAAAGATTTTATTTGTCTTTAGAGGGGAAGGGAAGGAGAGAGGGAGAGAAATATCAATGTATGGTTGCTTCTCGTGCATCCCCTGCTGGGAACTGGCCTGCAACCCAGGCATGTGCCCTGACTGGGAATCCAACCGCGATTCTTTGGTTCACAGGCCTGTGCTCAATCCACTGAGCTACACCAGCCAGGGCAATTTTATTATAGTTATGGGGATGAATAATTTTTCCCTCCAGAGAACTAAGCCAACATTAAAGGGATCCTGATGGTAGAGCAAACGATTTCTGAGCAATGAATAATGACATTAGAGATACGTCTTCTTAAAAGTATCAACTATTGTCTTTATGGTGAGAAACAGTACATTAACATTTTGTTAGCATATGAAATACACATTAATCATATGATCCAAGGAAAAGCACATGATAGGAAATATTAAGGAAAAACCCTAAGCTTTGATGTCAGAAGCGTGATCAAATAACGACAGCTTCATTCTAAATCAGACATTGATTTTTATCAGAATGTAATTTGGGTTAAACTTTTCATAGTGTCCAAAGGCTGCTTGATGTCAAGTATCTCTATCTCATACCTGGTTTTTTAGTTGATTGCTCTGTAATAGGGTCAACGATATTTTTCAGCAGTAAAATGACATAATATTAAGTCATCTTTATTGCAATAAGGAAAAAACCTACCGGTAACATTAACATGGTCCCTGGGGGACCAGGTAGCCCGTCGGCCCCGGGCAGGCCAGGACGTCCTGGAGGGCCCTAGGGAAAGCAATAAAACCATCAAAATTAATAAATAAATGAGCTGATCAAATTGATTACAAAGTGCGTAACTTTCAATAAGTCTACACTATCTAATTTTATCTCCTTTTACTATACCTAGTATACCCAGGAAGGATTGTATTTCCTTGCCCTTGTTAATGTTATTTTAATAACGCACAAAGTTATTGGCTACACAATGATGTACCAAAAAAGAAAAACAAAACAGAAAACAAAGAAATGGAGGGAAAGGACTTTTACAAAAAAAGTTTGGAAAGACTTAACACAAACGCTATGTCTCCCCACATGACCCACCCAGGATGTGACCCCCAGACTCAAATTCAGGCTTTTTAACTCCTACACTGCCAGGCTCCAGCTGAACACCCATGAGAGTTCCCAGAAAAACGTGTCTGAATTCAAATTGAAGATGCGAATCTAAAGCAACGGGTTCATAGCAACATAAAAATTGCCTGAAAATACATTTTCTTACTAATTATTACATAGATAAAATGCACATTCTTTACCCTCACTTTTAAAATTATAGTTAGAAAAGGTAACTAAAATGTCGTACCACATTAAATGTATAGGCCCCTTCCCCCGCAATGAGAATAGCATGTAACTTCTAGGACACATTTTAATTTTTCAATCTAGGTTATGAGGAGTCCCATCACTTACCCTCTCGCCAGGGTCCCCAGGGGGGCCAGAGGGGCCTTGGAGACCTGGCGGGCCCATAATACCCTGCAGAGAAAGAGAAGGAGCACCGAGTCAGGTTCCTGTTCTCCTTAGTATTTGGGCAAGTTCATCCGACCAACGTCAAAGAAGAGCCATGTGTATCTCACAAGGATACAACTGTCTCCCAAACATTCGCCCTGTGTCTCTTCCTATGAACAGGCGACATACAGAGACCACTTAATAATGTTCTCAACTCTTCCTCTACGGAGCTGCTCTCGGGAGAGGCAGCCAGGCAGCCAGGGGAAAACAGGAATGGAGAACTCGCCAAGGTCAAGTCCCTGAGGTCCAAGTTGGTTTGCAGTTCTGACTGAAGAAGTGCCAGACTCCCGTAATCAGGCCTCAAACAGACGGGAGTGAAGTCAAAAGGTGAACATCATTTAGCTTGGAGGCGCTCTCACATTTTCTTTCATGGGTAAATACATAGAAAGGCATCCGTACCGCATATTCCTTTCAGATGACAGAATTTAATTATTTCCACGAAGGATGGAGGATTTCCTACAAAGTCAGATCCGTACAACTGCCTGAGACTCAGACACACCGAGTGACAACAGCCTCCCCAGGAAACGACAGAGGACGCTGATAACTGCACCATTCACAAGTCCAGATAAATGAGGCAACGGCAATCTCTCAGCATCCTCAGCTCCGTTCATTGACACAGCTATACCTCTTTAATAAAAACGCTGTTTTTTTTACTTTCATAACTTTCAGGTAGAAAGTTGAAAGTGAGGGTAGATGTGGAGATATTTAAGCCACAAAAATGTTTAAAATGGATTTTAATTCCCCTGCTTCCAAAAGAATATCATTTCGGTCACCAAATCAGAAAGGAAATTCAAAGCCACTGGGTCTTCTGAACAAATGTTTGCCTCTACAATTCAATACTCCAATGAGTCTAAAAGGCATCAATTCAATAACGTAATAGAAATCCTCCATCTGATATTAAAAATCAAGACAAAAATAATCGAAAAACATTTACATACCGCAGGTCCTGCTGGTCCTGGTGGTCCCTCAATTAGCATGCCCTACGATAAGAGAAGAAAGCAAATCGTTTCTAGAGAAATGTAGCCCCAAGCTCTGAGGCAGCCGACTCTAAGAAGGCATTTTACAAAGTGAATTCTCTACCCCTACCACAGAGAACCAATCACAAACGTGTCTGCATGGGGAAGGGAGGAAATTCAAAATGATAGAAGATACAGCCCCCCGTCCTCCGAGAATCTGTGAACTAATTAAAAAGGAAATAAATATTCAGATCGGTAATGTTACAAGGGGAATATGCTTCCAGGAAGGGAACAATAAAGGTGTGTGGCCGACTTTTCCTGAACTGCCTTAGCGATTGGCCACATGAATGAAAGAATGTGCATTGAAGCCACGCCTCAGCACTGCAATCCATCCAGGGGGAGCAAAGCCCAGAGGAAAGAATCAGGGATAAATATGAGACCAGTTCCGACACAGCTAAAAGAATATAGTACTACTTCAGGACAAGAGCCCAGTTCTAAAACATTTTATGAGGCTACTGCTGAATACTGGTCATTTTACAAAGCTGGTTGTAAATTTTCATTTCGGAAACATATTCATAAAGCCTTTGGTGAGCACGTGGCCTGCTTGCTTAGATTTGGTAATAATGGAGCAGTTAGCCAACAATGCTGCTACCAATGTAGCTTGTTAAGTTTTATCTTGCCTCCCCCTTCTTTTGAGTTTTTATGTCCTTGTAATTTCTGAAACGATGTTCATGACCTTGAGGTGGATGGTTGGACATAGAACTTAAGTTCTAATGCAACAGTTTTCCCAGGTTTCTCAATAGAGAAAACAATGGCAAAATTGCTTTCCAGTCAGAATTTGCTTCCTACCAATATCTTGAGTGGTAAGAACATTAACGTAAATTTAAAAAATCACATTTTAAAAGAACATTGTCCTATTATTACATAATGTTACTTGGCTACGAAAATGGTCTCATACTTCTTTGTATCTATGTCAAAAATATATGTTGAATAATGTCAATTCACAAACATAAGAGGAAAAAAATCATTGGATTGGAAACTGGAAGAGGTCGAGTCTAGCCATAGCTCAGCCACCAAACAGTGAAACTTAAGGAGAGTCATTTAAACCCTTTAAAACTCAGGTTCTTTGTGCAAAATGAGAGAATTAGAGTAGACACATTTCAGCTACTTTCAAATTCCATATTGTTTGGTGTATTGAAACGCTACTTGCCAGAAGCGACCTTACTCACTCCTTACCTGTGACAAATTAGACACATTTGGACAACGAAATTCTCTATGGTCATACATGAACATACGTAATAATTTAAGGTGACGATGGCTCATAAGATCAATGAAATGCCTCACCAACCTTCACGATGTATCCACACCGGTACTTACCGGCTCCACCACCGCCGGTTCCCCCTTCTGGCCCTTTTCCCCATACGCGCCATGGCCGGTTACCTGTTGAGTGAGAAATTCAAGCAGCCTGTCTTTAAGTAAATAAGGCCGTTAAGTATTTTTTAATAAGGCAATTTAATGATCTAAATGCATTTCAAGCAACCTATTAAAAGGTGCCTCTTAAATAGCAACCTATTAAAGGTTTAAATAGCGAAAATATAAAAAAGAGAAGCGTAATGAATATTAATAGTGAATTCTGATTGAGATTGAATGGTGGCTTCTTAAAAGTCATCTGCGGACCTCAATGATCAGTCCAAGGCATTAAGCAAAAAAAGTGTCATCAAAGTAAATTTAATAAGATAATAGGAGGAGAGTAGGGAAAACGGGTGAAGGAGATCCAAAGGTTAAACTAAAAATAGAATAGTAATAAGTATGGTACATCACTGAGCAACGCCAAAAGTAGTCAATAATTAAAAAATAAAACAGGCTAAAAATCTGAAATGACATGTACTACCCCAAATAATTATGGCTCTATTTTAATCATATCAGTGAAAGAAAATGTCAATACAATCTTATTCAAGATTATACTTCCAAACGAAGACTCCAGTCATGTGGCCAGACATACAACTGCGGAAAGTCCCCATGAGGAAGAATCTATCACCATGTTCTAGTTGCCATAAGTATTCAAAATGTACACAAGAAGACAACCCGTATTATAAACCTGAAAAGACATCAAGACGAACATGAACAGACTCCAGGGACGAGACACACAACGACACCGCGTGGCACACTGACTTACGCTCGTTTCTGTAATATCTGTTTCGGCCGGGACACCTGGGCCAAATTCTTCATTAGTGGGGCTTGTCTGTTTATCTTCATATTCTTTATAGTCATAAAAATCGTATTCGCCTAAATCTCCATCTACCAGAAGGTCAGAGTCCCTGCCGTCTATTTCTTTGTTTTCGTACAGTGTCTCCTCGCGGTTCCTCCTCTGAGAATCATAATCCTCTCCAGTTAGATACTCTTCAGTAAATACTTCTTCAGCTGGGTTGGGCTATTCATTTCAGTTGCGAGGAAGTGGAGAACAGGAAGGTTACTGTTAGTGAAGCCAGGGGAGCGTGCGATCACGGTGTGATTGCTGTGACCAGGGCGGGGCAGCGGGCTTAAGGCTACTCAAGCAAGTCCCGGAACTATTTCTGCCGGTGTCATCGAAAGAAATAGCTTTGTACATCGGTATGTACAAGGATACATGGCTTTCCGAACACACTTCCCAATAAACTGCAAATATTCACATGGACTCCACATGTATATTTGCTTGTTCCATTGCAAACAACCTTGTCGGTCAACTCGATATTTACTTTATAGTGTAAGATTTGAATAGTCAAATGTGCACTTGGTTAAAGCTTTGCTTAATTTTCAAATCTCACAGGACATCATTATGCAATATAATCACCACCAGGAAAACCATGCAATTTGACTTTCAATCCCCAAAATAAAATGTCAAGGCCAACGGTGAGACTTATCATGGCAATATTTATTCGTGGTATCTGCCATGTAGGGAAGTTTTGTATCACCAAAGAGTTCTTTAAAGCAAATAAAGTATAAAATACAACCCTCAAAATTTCAGACATTTAAATAAAATATATCACTATCAAACCTCATGAAGAGTAGATATTTATTTTAAAAGTAAAAATTATATCAATAAAGCCCCTTCAGAGATATTTTAAAATAATATATTTTTCCTTTCTCATGGCTAATTTCCTATTAATAGCATAAATCTGAATCATATTCATTATGAAATTTTTGGCTACATTATGATTTTTTATGATATTTAAATAAAATCATTTATTTTGCTACATTTTCTAATTGCATTTTTAAGTAACTTGTTTTCCGTGACACAGTGAACCTAAATGATAAGGAAACAAAACCACGTGAATAAAAGTGTGGTTGAACTATTACTTTGGCAACTGTTAACCAAATGTCCCATTACCACGTTTCCTCCGTGTCCTCAAACGAGGAGGACAAGGTCTCTACAGGGGAAGCATCTTGTCCACATCAGGATATTGCTGTGTTCACAGCTGCGAACTAAAAAGCTGGATGAATTTGGGTAGATAAATAAACATCTTGAATCAAGATATCCATTTTGGGGAATGATTAAGTTGGACTAGGCGAATACTTAAAATCTGTTCTTAAGCTAAACTGGTAAAATGTTGTTATTCTGGATTATGCATTCACAAGTAATATACCGCTGAGTTTATCTACCTATTGGGATGTGTGTTACACAAATTTTCTAATAACTAAATTACTCGGGTATTGTTCGTACCCAGTATGGCAGGTGTTTAACAAAGCTAAACTGAATTGTATACTCATTTTTTTCATGATCAGAATATATGCATAATAAGAAATTCAGAAAGATTGCTCGATTTGTCCCTTTATGAACTTAATCCTTTTCCTAGAAAAGAATGGAAAAGGGTGAGATATATTATTTTAGCCATAATTAACACCACTTTCCTGACAAGTGTGAAACTGTAGATAGCTATTAAAATCCACAAGGGCTGCGTTTTCTCAGAGTATGTGCTGTTATAAAAACGCATGACTATCAGCTGGGTGGAAGGAATTCTGATTGTATCACTGGAGGATACAATTGTCGCCGTGGGGGATTCTCCTCTTCATATAGAAGGCTCATGTTGTGAACACCCTTGGTTCATTGCAACATGCTGAGGAACTTTTGAATCCCAGGGACAGTCAAGAAAATGACAGCAGCCACTCAGCCGAACCAATTCAGCATTTGCATAAAACCAAGAGCTATGCAAAACGCGAATTGACTCTGATTCTAAATGAAATGTTTTTAGTAATAGTGAACCCATCTGATTGCTTTCTTACCTCAGTAAGGCAATAAAAACATCTAACTTTCAGAGATTATAGATTCTTCCAGAGGGAGGCGGATCAAGAAGACAGGACACGTATTTCCATGGAGGACTGTGACTGAACAGTGCCCTTGAGCTTTACCTCATTTGTTCCCGACACACGCCTAGGAGCTTCTGTCTGGTAACTTTCCATGGTTCCATAGTTGTATTCTTGAAAATCCTCCACGATATTGGCCTAGTAACAAATTCAATGGAAATGCAGTTAGTGAAATCAGGAGGCCATCCCAGTCGCGGTGAAGCTCGATTTAACTGGGTTATCGTATTAGCCAAATTCGGGTTTATCTAGTCGGGTTAGGACAATGGTGCATCATCAGAGATCTCCCATCTTTCTAAGAGAGATCTTGATTGCTCTTTCTTTGCTACCTGGGCCCCTAGTTTGGTTTTTGCCGCTGCTTGATAACTTTTCTTCTTCTTGGATGCAAATGTTTCAGATTTAGGGGGTGTAAGCTTTTTGGCCTTTTCCTTTGAGTTAGCGGCCACTGTCTTCGTCTTCTTTCTGAAATTGGATTTCTTTTTCTGCAAAACGCAGTGAAAGATGGAATGGAAAACGTAAGTGGAGCAAGAAGGGAAATGAAGAGCATGGGGGAAAGGAAGGAGAAGCGAAAGGAAATGAGCATCATTCCTTCGGAACAGCAACTGCCAAATAGAAATCACAGTTAACTGGCTCCCAGAAATCAGGTGGATGAAAGGTGGACGGTGAGCGTGAGGAACAGCAACCATTAGGGACCACAGGGTGATGGGCATCGGGGCACCGTGTGCCAGGCGCTCCTCAGTTTTTACCTCGGTCTGTGCTAGTGTCTCCTCAGCGACAGTGGGTGTCTCTGTCACACTGTCAGCTTCCTTATACTCAGCTTCACCATACTCATAGTCATATTCCGTTACATCCTCAGGTGCGTACTACATCGCAAAGGGAAAAACACCAGGCAGTGTTGTTAGTTGCAGGTCCTACCATTAATAGAGTAGGGATCATCTTCTTAATGTTTACTCAGAGGCAACGTTAAGAAACGAGGAAATACGGTTATTGAACTGTTATTTTGCATTACGCAAAGTATTATACGGTCTTACACAGAGTATAATAACAGAGCAGTGATGAAGCAGAGATCTGAATAGCCTAATGGTGGTTAGGATTGTGAAGAAACTAAAAGTTTCGAATGTTAATTCGAACTTTTAATGGTTGAATATTCATTCACACATAGAAGTTATGTATTTGGAAATAGTTGACTAATAGTCGTGCTCATTTTGCTTTGTAAAAATGACTCCACAAAGTTTATCCAGATAAATTTTACAACAGTTTCAGTGGGGGCTATTTTTTTTCATTAGACTACACATATAAAAATAAATATATAGAGAATAGTCTTCCCAAGTATGAAGGGGTTTTGGTATCTCTTGTAAAATGGAAAGGGGAAGGAGGGAAAGGAAATACAATGCACATGAAATGAGTCTATATTCTGTTAGAAATACTGGAACCACTGGAAAGATAAAATGCTTCATTTCTTCAGAAATCTCTTCTTTACTGTAGACTTAAGATCCAAATGAGCAGAGAATACTTGTGAAGCATTTACAAGATTCAAAATCATATCTGCTTAGAGTTAACACTTCACTTAAAAATTTAAATATACTGCCTTTTTATCTACCAGAAAGAGGTCATGTTGTTAATGTATTTTACACTATTTAAACTGAACTCAGATTATCGTGTTTTATACTAGAATTTTCTGTATTAAAAATGTATTGGGAAGAGGCATGTTCTTCATAGGACATGCAAGATAATCATACAAAGTGAAGGATGAGGGAAATCATGCATTCACCTTCACAGCCAAAAATCTCTACCAAAGCTTTAAGTTTTAATTAAGAATACAGACATTTTGAAGCATATATTAATAACTGGTTTCAGTAAAAATAACTAAATACAGTAAGGTCATATATAGTATAAAATCGTAAACAGCAAACTCAACTAGCTAACACTAACACAGTATATTTATGTGTGTGTATGTGTGTGTATATATGTATATATGTATATATATTAATGCTAAATGCAAACTATTTAGAATTACTTAAATATCACATCTGGTAAAAGTTCAGTTATGTCCCTATATAACCTCTCTTGGTATTTCAAGTAATCCCTTTTTTTTTAAGATTTTATTTATTTACCTTTAGAGGGGAAGGGAAGGAGAGAGGGAGAGAAACATGAACGTATGGTTGCCTTTCATGCGTCCCCTGCTGGGAACTGGCCTGCAGGGAACCGGTCTGCAACCCTGGTATGCGCCCTGACTGGGAATCCAACCGCGATTGTCTGGTTCACAGGCCTGGGCTCAATCTACTGAGCTACACCAGCCAGGGCCTCAAGTAATTCCTTTTAATCTGCCAGCAAATTAACAGCTGACCACATGTCTTCTAGAGAATTATAATAACTGTAGCAATACTGTACATCTAGCCCTTTGCGAAACATCCTCACTGGACTGAGCTTTTCTAAAAGCCTCAGCTGAAGGTCATATTGAAATATAAACACAGACATGCTTTGGTCTTCTTTATGACGCCCCACCCCCCAAAAAAACCCCTCCAATTTCATTCAATTAATTGAAATGGAGCCATAATTTTCTCTCTTCAGCAATAGCTTCATTTTCAAGGATTAGACATTTGAAGCATTTCAACAAAAATGTATTCTAACTAGAATCTGTATAGAATTTGGTAAAATAGAAAAAATGCACGTCTATAACATTTTAGACATTTTTGTATCTTCATGCCTTTGCAAATAAGAAATGCCAACTATTTCCAGGAAAGTCAATATAAGCATTATTAATAACACCATTAAGTAAATGCAATCATTAAATGCTGAATTTAGATATATATTAAGTAGACATTTATGGAAACTGTTATGTAATGTTTCTGTAGTAACAGTGACCCTTGTTGAAATGAGAAATACTGGGTTTCTATCATTACTAGCTACTAACTGAAACTGGAATAAAAAAAAAAAGCCAGTGTATTTGATGCTTTAGAGTTTTATAACTAAACACACTTTTTAGAATCATGTGTATCTATAATGAGTTGTAAGAGCAAAAATCAACAAATAAAGTCATAAAGGGGAAATTTAAATCCATCTTAAAACTTTGTATTCAGACCATGAATATATCCTGCCAAAGGAGCTGGTCTTCTCTATATCATGTTTTCCTCTTATAGGAGGAAACCTCTCTGACCTCCATGATTCTTTCCTCCGTTGGAACTCTTTCCATGTGGAGAACAACCAGACTGTGGAATGATGTGCGATCATTCCGTGACTGTGGAAGGATGAAACAGACCCCATGTGCGAGGTCTTCAGTACTCTGTTCCTCTTTGTCGGGGCGTTACTCTGGGCCCACTGAGAAGAATCACGGCTTTTGTTCTGACTTTTTATCCACAGGACATGCCCCTTTAGGTGGTACTGAGTCTATTTAAGGCTTTGCTGGTTTATATGGAGCTTCACAAGTCCTTTTTGAGAACTTTTGCCTTAAGGACAGGTGAAGAAAAGAGCACTGATTGCAATCAACCAGCTGCACATACGCAAAAAGATAAGTCTCGGTGGAATGCCTCCCACCCTATCTGTGAGCAGCCCTGCATACGTGACGGCTGGGCGGGGTCTTCCGGGCATGTCCTTATCTGTTCTTACTTCATTTGACAGGAAGCAGTAGTAAGAGCAAGTATCTGTGCACTTCCGGGAGCCAGACTATATGGCAAATGCTACATGAGAAGAAAGTTAAGGTAATATATTTAGGGAAGTCAATTATTTCTGAAGTTTCTTTTTAAAAGATTATCTTTCATTGGGTTTATTTTCTTTATTATCTTTTATGTATAAGACTATCAACCACCTACTGGATATGAGGCATCATAGTCTGTGTAATACATTAAGAAAGAACCTAATCTATATATTAAATATATAGATTTAATATCTAATTTGTTATAAAATAGGAAAATAATCTAGCTCAGTGTGAAAATCCAAAATTGTCATGATTTTAATATTAGTTGCTCTGCTGTATCAATGGTGTTGTGTAAGTTCAAAAAGAATTAAAGTTTGATGATGTTATCACTACATTTAAATCTACTTACATTCTGCATTTTTCACTATTGTGCCAAACACATAAAAACATGAACCTTAAGAATGAATTAGAATGTGTTATTTAGAGGATACTAATGAGACTAAATTAGGAGTGAGAAAAAGCAAACCAGTTATTTCATAAAAGAAACTGACATATTTATTAATCCAAAATGGAATAATAAATATGCAATGTCACAAATTTATTAATAGAAAATTAACTAATAGAAAGAACAACATGTATGCTTGGTGCTTTCTATTGTATTTAATTTCCATTACATTGACAAATAATAGTGCATTCCCATATTGTATGTAAATGCATATTTGTAATATAATGTCATATTATTGCTCAAAATTAATAATAAGGCTTGCTTACAAATTTGGTTAACCAGTGTTTTACATACTGGTATAAAATGGTTATCTTATTATTGAAGTATCAGTGTCATTCAGAATTAGGAAAAAATGTGAGCACTAATTTAAAGAAGAAACATCTTTTATTGTGACACATTCAATAGAGAAACCACTAAGCGAGGCTACCCCCCAGCCAGATGGCAGGCAGCTTCTATTGTGGCAATATGTCTCCCTAATCAAAGGCTTTTAGTGAAAACAAACCTGACATCTCAAAATGTTAACTGCATGTGTGAACAACTAAAATAGAAAAACACAAGTTTACTTTTAAACAAACTGAAGACTAAATGAGGGCTAACAAATTATTATTCTGAAGCAAAATAACTCAGCTTACCTGGCTAATAGCATTAAAATGTGGGAATAAGACACCTCGAGGTAATAGATTAGGAGTGTACACCTTTATCCTTTCAAAAAATCAGAGCCACGTCTCTTGCTAAAAATAGAGAAGTCTTATCTTTTTTTAAAACAGTAGCGAAATAAACTTCAGTCTTGGACATGTGTACTAAAGGTCATAAATTTTAATATTGAAGTTTTGTATGAAAGCGGTAGGCCTGATGACTATTTTACCTATCCTCTTGGAATTCATAGAAACACGCTTTAATAAATCATGAGGGAACAAAAAGAACGAAGCCCTTGAGAGCAGTGCGAGACAAGCAAACACAAGCCTCCCAGTAATTTCTCTTTTCTTTCTCATGTTTGCTTTCCTGTCAGCTTCTTAAGACTCTGTCCTGTTTTAAAAAGAAAATTAATATTAAGCCATGGAAAAAGATCAGTGCAACAGAATTCGCTATCATACCATTAAAAAGTAATGTTAAAATATAGATACGGCAAGCATTGAAAAGGTAATATCCAAACTGAATTCACAAGCAAAATAATAACCATTGAAAATCAAAGATATCGACCTGTTCTAAATACTGAAAAACTCAAAAAGTTGGCCCCTAATAATAGTATATTTATAAGGTAAGAAAAAATTGTTATTTGAGCTATCTTCAAACATAAGGACACTGTTAATATTTTAAAACTTCCACCACCTCTTCTAAAATTTAACACTTTCAACTTGAGGAGAAAATCTAAGTATATAATTTTGATAACAACCAAAGACTTCCTTCCAATTTGCTTACGTTTTTAATTTCTAGAAAATCTACATCAAAGAATATTACTTAAAGGCCTGGAGCAAGAGTACGCTATAACATAGTTCTTGTTCTTTGGGATCGTCAAGTCTGACGAAATCGCTATGACTATACGAACTTATATGTGTTTTTGGTCTGAGCAAGACTAGACTAAGATTTCACTGTGGTCAATTTTCTTGGGTAAAAAAGCTCGGGAGAATGTTTGCACATCTGAATTTCAAATAAGGTGGCTAATGGTAATGGAAGTATATGAATAGCTTTAATTACCACAATCCATCCATACTGTTTTTCATGTCATCGCGATGAAATATCAGATTTTGTGCAAAAAAGAAAAAACATCTATCGATGTAGCATAGCCTACACGGAATGGAAAAAAATCCCCTCACATCCTGAAAACGTTCAGGTCACTCTAATGTCCCTTTCTCATCTTCACGGGTCTCCAAAGTCCTGGGCAAACGGCAGCCCCTAGGAAGGCATCTCACCCTTACTTTGAGGCTGTGTTAATTATTGCAGTGCTAAGGGGACAGTTACAGCTTTCAGAAATCATCTTTCTCTCCCCCTCCAAAGAATAAAATATGCTTAGAGACACAGTAAACAAGAGAGGCATGTCTATTTTGAAGAAATTTAAGTTATAGAGTACTTTACTAAGTGGGGGGAAAAAACACCACAAAGCATTTTCGACTCAGTTCTTGCCAGAAATAGTCGCGCACTGTGAACTGCGACGTGTACGCGAGTTAAACTTGGAGAGATGCGCCCCCACACTGCATTGCAGGACCACGTCTCCAGCGTGGAAATGAGAACCCTGCCCGACCTTTGGGGCCTCACCTCGTCGATCTGCGGCTCCTGCGCCTGCGCGGCCTTGGGCACCGAGGAATCACAGTCCGGACTGTAATGCTCGCAGTAGTCGTAGGCGGCTTTGGGGTCACCGATGATCAACAACTGCTGGATGTCCCCCTGCCAAGAAGCAAGCGTGGGTGTGGTCAGCGTCTTCAAAGGCACAGAGGTCTAGAGCAACACGTGTCCAAAACAATACGTAGTGTATTTTGACACGTGTGAAGAAGGAAACACACCCTGCTCTGTAAATCAGAAGTTGATACAGTTGACCGTTGCACAAGACAAGTTTGAGCTGCGTGAGTCCACTTGTAGGTGGATTTTTCTTTTTTTAACTTTGTTTTTATTCTTTATGCTGTTACAGATGTCCCCACTTTCCCCCTTGCCTGGCCCCCAGCAGCTCTTCCCTCTGGCCGTCACCACACTGTCGTCTGTGTCTGTGGGTCTTGCATGATGTTTTTTGGGTAATTCCTTCACCTTCTTTCACCCAGGCCTCCCCTCCTCCGTCCCCTCTGAAGCCGTATGTATGTGGATTTTTTTCTCTTTTATAAAAAAAAATTATTTATTGTTTTTAGAGAGGGGAAGGGAGGGAGAGAAACATCAGTGGGTAGAAGAAGCATTGCCTCTCACGTGCCCCTGAATGGGGACCTGGCCTGCAACCCAGGCACGTGCCCTGATCAGGAATGGATTTGGTGGCCCTTTGGCTCACGGGCCTGCATGCAACCCACTGAGCCACCCACACTAGCCAGGGCTGTGTGAATGTGAAAATTTCTGACAACTTTTAAAAATTCACCCATGAATCTTATGATTTTCTTTAAAACATTTTCTTTACTCTCATTCACTTTGTCATAAGAAAAAATATATAATACATATAACATACAGAACGTGTGTTAACTGACTATATTATTGGTAACACTTCCCGTCTACAATAGGCTAGTGAATGGTTAAGTTTTGGGGAGTCAAACTTATGTGCAGATTTTTGACTGCAAGGATGGATTTGCACCCGTAACACCAGCATTGTTCAAAGGTCAAGTGCACTCCACTCTTGAAGTAACCAATTTCCACACAGGTCTCCTTAAATGCAAAACGTGTTCCATAAGAATCTATGGGTTGCAACTATATTCATTGCACTGGGGCCCAGGAAAATGTCTGGCTTCATATCCATCTGACCGAAATTCAAGGCCCTGCAGGTCTGGGCGCAGGAACCTGACTCACAGAACCCCTGATGTCGCTCTAAATAACGTCACTGTTATTCCCGCTTTCTCTGCATCCTTCTGCATTTTATTAATGGTTGCTCTATAGGGCCTGGTGAAAACACAGACATGAAACTTATAAAGACTCTCACATTGCATACTAAGAAGTAACCCTTCGCCTCCTCGGATTTGCCTGTGGCCCGCCACAGTTTGCTCATCCCGTGTTGCAAGTTCTCTGCAGTTTCTGAAATGAACTCATTTTGGGCAGCTAAGGGCCTATTATTACATGTCTAAGGTCCACAGCACCAGCTGAGTGATTTAGAACACTGCACAGCCACACTGAATTATTACAAATAACCACAAGTAACACAGGGAAATTTGAATACAGAATTCCTCGTTAGGCTCTTTAAAATAATTAACGAGGGGCTCTGGCCGGGGGGTCTGTTGGTTGGGCATCCTCTCGTGCACCAAAAGGCCGCAAGTCAGAAACCCAGGTTCCGGTTTTGATCCCTGGGGCAGACAACCAAGACATGTTTCTCTCCCTTTTTCTCTCTGTCTCTCTGTCTCTTCCTCCTCTCTCTTTGTCTCTACCTCCCCCTCTCTCTAAAATCAATCAACATATCCAAATGGTGAAGATTTAAAAAATAAACATAAAAATAATAAATAACAAGGCATCCTTGAGCACTGGCCTGATGAAGGGTTTCAATTAGAAATCATGATTCCTGAATGTTCTCTCAGCTTTGCCATAACTACTTGGAGTTATGCAAGTCACTCACCCCAATTCATCATTTGTGACCTGAATATATTGGAAGATCAGATCCGAAGTCCTCACCAAGACTAAAAAGTCTGTAATTCCACACTTAACTTGCAGGAAATACAATGAACCAAGTGAAGCTACCGTTGAAATATAAAAGCGTTGTCCATCTTACAGGCATGTGGTATTTAAAAATAGTATATTTTTGAAGGGAATTATGGTTTCCTAAGTACTTACTATTCTAGCTAAGGCACTTGACTTCATTAAAGGGACTCCCGCCAACTCTTCCACTATAAATTCTTATTGCAGGTGTTAAGTATGCAGCCATAAAATCTACCACTGGAAAGAACCTGGAAAATTCAGTTAAAAGTCTACAGTACTCTGTCTCCCAGGAGGCCTCTTACTGTGTTTTTCTGTTAATCATATGACACGTTGTGAGACAGTCTGCCGATAAACAAAAGCATCCTGACAGGTTGAATGAACTATAAATATTCAGAGTCAATAATCTTAAAAATTTCCACAGCTGGAAAAGGGGGAAGTAACCAAGTAAAAGGGGCCTCAGTAGCACACAAGGTAGGAAGCGGCGTCCTGCTCCTCTGTGGACCTGCAAAGCCAAGGTTAGAGTTGATGCCGTCACCTGGCCTGATCCAGCTGTGCAAGCCAGGTCTTGCTCTTCTCTTGTATCTGCCTATTGACAAGGTGAGTCCAGAGCAATACACGTGTAAGAAAGAAAGGATAGAATGTGCTATACAGATGGATAGAACGTGCTATACAGATGAGTATATAAGATTCTGAATGCCATGCACACTGCAGAAAATTCCCGCCGCATTTGTATTAGACCGGTTTATAAGTAATAACACAGCATGTCACCCTTTCAAAATAAATGTAATGCACATATTCTAACAATGTCTACTTGCCTTTGTTTTTAGCTTTGTTTTATATACACATATAATAACTCTCTAGAAGATCCAGATATTTCTATTTTCTGTGCTATCGATGGAATTACATCACATTCTATGAAATACACCGGTTAAAACAAAGTTAGCTTTTTCTGCCTGTGTAAGAAATCCCATTTATTGAAAAAGTGTCCTACGAGACTGGGGTCCTATTTTAAGGTCACGTGTCAATGGATGGATGTTCAGGGTCTGAATTTTCAGATTTGACTCCTTATCCGATGTGATACCCAGCAGGGCCTGGTGGGAGTCAATTCCCACCTAAGCATCCCCTGAACCGGACAGCATAGCAGCTGGTTTGGAAGAACGAGTAACAAAAAAAAAAACCAGGCCGTCATGTTCAACTGCATGTGATCAAGTCATGTGACCCGCAAGCGGGTCATGTGCTTGGGACGAATACAAAAATCACAGAAACAGCAGAGGAAGTCCAGGTTTAACCAAAACAGCTCATTCAGAGGCTGGATCGATGGTTAACTATAACTGTTCGGGTAAACATTTATTGTTTTAAGTTTAGTTTTCAATTAGAGTTCACAGGCGATAGTATTCTACATTAGTTCCAGGCATATAGCAAAGTGGTGAGACAATCACATACTTTACAAAAGTGTTTCCCCCGATATCTCCAGTGCCCACCTGGCCCCATATAGAATTATTACAATATTACTGACTATACTTCCTATGCACTACTTTACATCCCTGTGACTATTTTGTAACTATCCATCTGTACTTCTCAATCCCTTCCCCTTTCTCACCCAGTCCCCCAAGGACCACCTCTGGCAACCATCAGTCCAAATAACTGGTTTAGTGTTAAACAGTTTATTTGCAGATAGTCTCTCCTGAATGTCAAGGTAGCAGCTAGAAACTGTACAGTCCCATAAGGGGTTCAGTTCCACTCTGAATCTTGGAAGACTTAAACCTCTCACATTAAAACTTGGGGGTCACTTATCTTCTGAGATAATAATTTACTTTTGACAAAATCTGGAAGACTCCAAGTATCTATGAACACTGCATGTCACTGAGTCTCCCAAATTTCTAGAATTAGCAATGTCCTGTCCCCCAGTGTTGGAGCACATCACACGGGTGCTGCGGTTTTGTTCCGTAAAGCCATCCAGCCTCCGCGTTTATTGGGTCAGAAATGATCTGTGAGGTTTGGAGCCTGGGTGCTGGTGACAGCGGTGTGGGGTGGAGGGGCAGCCTGGACCAGGGCGGAACTTGCATTGGGGGTGCGGAGAGGAATGGTCTCGTTGCTTCTGGCTGAGCGATGATACGGCCACACCATTTATTTCGTTAAGAAACATAATAAAAGGAAAATTGGGAGGTTCAACCTCTTAAGTCTATGAAGAGAAGTGATCATTAACGATTGTTTCTGGGATAAATTCAGTTTTTCTTTCAAGAGAACTGGCTTCATTTCCTTTTGAGTCCGGCCACCCTCCCTCCCCCTCCCCCACCCTCCTACAGCTATGTCTGAAGACTGTTAGGTTGCAGCAGTAAAGCCAAACCAAAACGACAAGTGTCAGTAAGAATCAGCAGAAAAGTCTTCTCTAATCTGGTAGCCTATCCGACTTCCTAATGTGACTCAGCCTCACATTTTCACTCATCTTCAAGGACACCACGGACTTGTTCTGGGTCATACTAGGTTCCCAGCAGCTCCTGCCCCCAGTTCATGAGTTTAAGATCTAGGCTCAGAATGTGACTGTGTTTGGAGATAGGACTGTAAAGAGATCATTAAGGTTAGTGATGTCTTTACGACGAGCTCTCGTCCAGTAAGAGTAGGAGATTAAGACACACACACAACCCATGGAAAACTGTGGGAGGACAAGGGGAGAAGACAGTGGCCTACAAGCCAAGGAGAAAGGCCTTGGTCTCAGACGTCTTGGCTTCCAGGACCGTAAAAAAATAAATTTCTGTTGTATTGAGATACTCAGTCTGTGGTATTTTGTTATTGCTGTAATACAGACTAAGTTAATGCTCATTTGTTTTTATTTACATCTTGTGCATTGTCTTTATAACAGAATGAAGAAGAACACATAAAGCCCTGGCTGGTGTAGCTCAGTGGACTGAGCACGGGTCTGTGAAGCAAAAGGTCACCGGTTTGATTCCCAGTCAGGGCACATGCCTGGGTTGTGGGCCAGGTCACACATGAGAGGCAACCACACGTTTATGTTTCTCTCCCACTCTTTCTCCTTCCCATACCTTTTCTCTAAAAATAAATAAATAAAATATTAA